GTCCAGGCTGCGATGCTCCCTCATCTCCCTCAGCTCCTGGGCCAACATATAGTCCGGCGGAATGGGATTCTCGTCCAGGAAGTGCTTGGCCGTCGGCTTCTTGCCCACGGCTCCAGATCCCAGACCAGCTCCGCTCTGGGTGAAGTGCAGCGTGTTGTCGTCCTGGGTGAACTCCTTCTTCGTGTAGCCACTGGCGGCCAACTCGTAATCGCTTACTTCGCCATCGCGCTCGTACTTCTTGTCCATTTTCAGTTGCTCCCCGGAACTGGCTCTAAAACCATCCTCGTAGTCCGGCGGCGGAACTGCATCGTAGTCGAGGAAGTGGGGCTTGCGATCCGGCACCGAGTCCACATCCACATCGTCTAGGCTTAGCCCGGCGATGCCCTCCTCCAGATCGGGCGTCAGCGTTGGCTCCAACATGGCGGGGATCGGGGATTGGGAATCTCAAAGGTCCAAGTCAATGCTCCATGGCCTGCAAGAAGATGGGGAAAAGTGAAGTGAGAGGAGGCGCAATTGAGACTTTATAAATTGCTATAAATTTAGTGCCGGACCAGGCGTGGGCTAATTATAGACGCTCCACCACTCTGCCCGCCAATCCCTGTAATAATCCGCCGAGCAAAACTGAAATAGAGACGAATCGCCTAGCTGCATGGGATAGGTACATATATCACATATCAAGTGTGGGCAGCGCTCAGAAATGCAACCGGATAAGGCGGAGATTAGGTTGAGGTGCTTCCAAAAGGAAATACAACTAAATAATGAAGATGGGAAACGACTTTCCTTTTTTTTAACTTAAACTGAGATTTAAAAATAATAATACATTTACAAAGTTAAGATCTCTTATAATATTGTTTAAACTTGTTTGTCTTAAGAATGAAACCAAAGTCTAGGATATTAAATTTTTAGTTAAACTTGGTAAAACGAGGGCCTAGTATGACGCTCCGTTTACCGCCTAAACATAACTCATCACAATCATATGACTCGTTTTATGATCGATGGTAACTACGTATGTCAGCTCTATGATATAATAATCCTGTACGATAAATGTTATCTCGAAAGGTGAAGTCACTTAACAAAATGTAAAGGAATGATCTCAGGTTTCAAGTTCTTTATTTCCTGAACTTAATGAATGAAAAGGGTGTGTGTTGGTACTAAAGTGCAGAGCACATTCATCGATCGACTGATTCATTTAATTACTTCTAAAGTTTCAATGCTGACCCCTATTCAATTACGTACTTGTTAAGATCTACTTTCTAAGTATATTCAACATGTTAGTCTCCCAAAAAGAATTCGGTCTATTGTGGAGAATTCTCTGATTGTTTGGCTCTATCGCTCTGTAACTTAATCATCGGCCCAACTTTCAGATGGTGCCAACAACAATAGCAAATAAGCAGCTAAATCATTATCATGATTAGCTCGAGCTGCATCTTTTAGAAAGTTAGCGGAATTTCCAGTGCATGAAAAAGATACAGATGCGTTTTCAGCAGATATATTATATTGCCGTTGCTGTTGTTGTTGTTGTTGATGTTGTTGCTACACACACTGTACACACACCGAGTACAAGACACATTTCTCATTTGAGCTACCGTTGAATTATGTGCAAATGCAATTTGGTGCAGCACTTCTTTTTAGTTGTTATTGTAGCGTAAAATTGAGCATGGACAGACAGAGATGTAGGCACATAAATATGTATGTGCACAGGGAGAAAATAACGCAGGTATCTTAAAAATATTTGAAAAGGGATTTGAATCATTACAATATCTAAGCAACCTACAAAATGCTCACTACATGAAAAGATTCTTTATAAAAGCTACTATTCTATTTTTGTTATTAGATCCATTTCTAATATCATATTATTTCAAGAAATTCACTATATATAATTTGACTTTTTCGATAGTAATGTCCTATTCTATATTAAATTAAAAAATCGATATGAAACTGGTATTTTTGTTTTTCCCTGTGTACCCAGTCCCATTCAAAGACTTCAAGTTGTTTGGGATTGGGAATGACCCGGGTCGTGTACCAGTTCTCGCTCCGCACAAGTCAATTCCTTCAAGCTCCAATTGGCAAATTAATCAAATTTTAATTGCGACCAACTTAAAAAGAGAAACAACACAAAAAGTGGTAACCGCAATTTGAGTGGCTGTGAAATGCAAATCGCTTGTGTAACAGCGGAAATGCATCCATCGAGTCCATTCGAATGGAATGCCGGACTGGTCAACAGTGGGCAATCATTCATCGTCGATTGTTTGCCTAGGCCTTCACCAAAAATGTAATGTAACATTTATAACTATCCATATCAGTCCCTTGATAAGGCGGTGCGGCTCCACTCGTCCGCTGATTAACACCCAGCAATATCTGTGCTTTCGTTGGCAAGAATTCAGAAGACGAGCAGAAGCACTTCGATGAATCAACGATATGCATGTGCCGGCGAGAGTACCACAAAGAATGCGAAAATATGCGTCACTTGTCTAGCCAAAGAGCTTCACAGTCCCCCAGAGACGACTCCTCGTGTCATTAACCGGGCAGCAAAATACATATGTAAGGAAATCATCAGCCCAGGCACAATGGAAACAATTGAAAACTAAGCGGTTTCAAAAAACTTCAGCGGTATTTGGAAATTAAAATAGGTCTGCAACCCACGCTTAAAAAAAAAACATTTACATTGGCAAATAAATATTTTTTATATTTTAATGGATTAGAAAGTGAATCAGCCAGTAACAATCTAAAATTTTTACTTTTAGTCATTGAATTTTGTTTTCAATTCCTAAAGATAAAGACATTTCAATAATAAGTTTATGATTTACTGTTTGACGCATACCATTTCGAGCTAAGACTTAGCAAAACAAATAAATTGATTGACTTCCTACATAAGATGGTAAATAACTTGAATAATTAAGTCAAGATGTGAGCAAATACATTTTTGGTAGTCTGTTTATGGAATCTTATGGATCTTGCCCATAGTTTGTAATACATATCTTTGTTAAGATCTATTACCTTATAGAGCGTTTGTGATATTTCCAAAAAATATTATTCTGGTATATCGTAGTATAAGTGGATGAAACTTCAGGAAAGGGTGGGGCGAGGTCGATATGTGGTCCAAAATCTATCCGTACTTGTACGAAAGAACTATTTTTTTTGGACATCAACGTTTGGGGGTAGGTTTTGTTTCATCAACCCCCGAACTTTCCCGAAACATTGCCAAATCGTATTAGTCTGCCAAAAATAAAATAATTCAGCAAAGTAGAAGTACCCCAATTTAGATCTTTAATTGGAACCCCATCAAGTTAATCAACAATCTTAACCCCCAACCAACGAATTCCACCCACTGTGCGGCGTTTTGGCTTGGCACACATTTTGCATACCAAATATTCGCGGCAGAAGTATCAAAGAATGAAGAATTGAAGATTTACACGGGGGAGGGTGAAAAAAGCCGATGGATGATGATGATGATGGAACCGAAAGCCATTAAACAGAGGCAAACAGGGAAATGTGCGCGAAAATATTAAATAATAAAAACTACAAGCCCAACTACTGAAAATGTACATACACTTGTACTTGTGATTTTTGTATGTGCATTTATGAGCTGGTTTAATGAACGCCACTTTTATTTTTGTTGTTTTGTTGCTTTTGTGTCTTTGCCGCCGCGAGATGATGATTATGTAAATTGTAGAAAAGTAAAAGGGAAACTAAATACGAGCGCATTCAGTGTGGAATTGTGTTGTGTTTTATTTATGTTTGTAATGTCTGTGGCCGTGTAAAACAATCGAGCGTGCAGATATTATGGTATTTTCCTTAATGCGGTGATTAATTATGCCTGCGGTGAAATTGGAAATGGAAGTGGTCGAAAATAGTTATCAATTAGGCGTGCCACAATCACCGTTGCAGCTGTTGGAAAGCAAAAACAACAGAAAAAAAACATAGTGCGTTTTCCAACTGATAAAGGAGCCCTCTCACACACACACAAACAAACACTTGCACACAGCACACCCACACTCGGGCGCAGTCGCATTCTGATTGGGACCTTTATTGATTTTTCCTGTAAAAGGAATCAGCAGGAAAACAGGAATTTGCAGTTTGCGTCCAAAGTTTTATCATTGAGATCTTCCAAGCACACACACTCACGCATATTAGCCATATAAGGCGCACATTTATTAAGTAAACATTCTGCGTTTTATTGTCAAGCCAAAAAAGAAAAATTCCAATTGGAAGAGGCAGCGACTATACTCCCACACACACACGAAAGATTCTCCGTTTTTTTTTTGGCGTACCTTGACTAAAACAGTTTCTCCACCAGTTGACGCATTTCACGGTTTATCACTTTGTTTGTCTTTGCCCAGAGATATTGCTACTATTTGAGTTCTCAGTTCATTTCATTTCGCGACAAAACAAATACAAAACGCGCCCGAATCGAAAGTCCGCTTATCATCAACAATAATTGCGACCAACCGCGACGACTGTGTGACCGTTAATGGATTTTCGAAAAACCCTCGATAGAGGTAGGGATGTGAAAAGTGCATAAGAATAACAACATATCGATACATTTGTTAAAATATTTTAAAATTTATTTCAGTAACGTTAATTTGAATTTGTAACTTTAGTAGTTTAAAGTTAAGTTAGGATCAAAGGAAAAATAATTATGAGTGGTCGTTGACCAATTTTTTGTATAGCTGTGCGAAATCGTTGAGAAAATTAAATTACAGTTCGAAAAATATTAAGACTGAGAGGAGCAAAAATTGCCAATTCACTTTAAATGTTAGGCTCTTATTCGTCAGTATGGTAAGTTATAAGTAGGTTTTAAAATTTAGGCTTATTATATGTTTTCTTAAAGCCTACTTTTAATATATCATGGGGTTGAGTGGAGTTTCAAGCCATTAGTACTAGTGGAGTTTCAACCCTCTAGTGTGACCGCATCAGAGCTCACAAAAAATCCTGCTAAAAGCTAGAACCAAATTTCAGGATAAACGCCCCAACGCATATGGGGTCCTATTAAGCCGTACGGACAAAACCAAACCGAATTTTGTTTTTCGAAATCAGCTGTGCGCGGCGGACGAGTTTTGTTGTTGCTGCGCCCGGGAAGCTGCGCTGCTGAAAACGCGAAAAATAATACAACGCAAAAACCAAAAAAATACAACAAAAAACGTTGCAAATGCCGCGCCATAAGTAACAACAATTAAAGCAGTCAAAAGTCAAGCAACTGGAATTGCAGTGTGCAAATCCAATTGGGTGTCCGAAATTCGTATTGATTTTCTTGTTGGTGTGTGCGCGGGTCCGTGAAAAAAGCAACAAAAGCCAAAGCAACCACTTCCAGACTTCCCATTCCCAATCAGCCACTTCCTTTTCGTCCACCCAACGGTAATCATTGCCAATTGGAACCGCGATCTTTCCATCTTTCCAGCGACAACAACAATGTAGACAAGTCAAGTGCAAGTGTTGTTGTTGTCTGTAGTTATAGCGTTATTAAACAAGATAAAGTGGGAAAGAGAGAGAGAGAGCGAGATAGAGGCAACAACAAAAGCGAAAGTTTTCATCCAGTGCGTATTCGTATTATGTGTGTGTTTGTGCGAAAAATGGTGGATAAATATGCATAGGCAATAATAATAAATGCAAATCTTTGTCAATAAGAAAAAAGGGTGTTTCTTCTGCCAAAAAAAAAATCGCTTTATAAATTATAAATGCAGGGAGTGGCCGGCTAAGTTGGATTTTTTCGGCTAAAATTCAAGGCACCGAAAGCAAAAGCGACAAAATGTGGATACCTTCGAACAATAAATACGGAGTTGGTGAGTAAATAAAGGGAATGTACCACCCACTTTTCCAGCCCAACCAGCAGCCCAGCCAACCCAACCCAACCCACCACCCACCACCCCCCGCTGGGCGTCACGTGCGTGGCCTTTGTTTTTATTGTTGCCTTTTGCGGCGATTCACGCTTTTTTCCGCGAAACACCGGATAACCACCCCCGCACTTTTCACTCGGGGAGGAAAAGCGATTTTTCTACTTATTTTTGTACACAAACTGTTTGTAGCATCATCATCCCCCAGTCCATCCCACCGCCCCCTTTTCCACCCATCATCGTGTATCTCAAAGAGATTTTCCTGTTTGTTGTTGCTGCCGTGCTGCGATTTGATGTGTTTATATACACAGTTTTCCCCGCGCACAGTTTTCCCGCACTGTGTTTTTCTGTCGCGTTGCCAATTTCCCAGCCCAGGTGTTGCCAATTTAAATGCTTTCGTAATTACACACCTAAAAAAAAATTATTTGTACAGGGAAAATCAAATTTTTTACCCGTTTATATTCTGGTTTTTGCTTTACAAAAGATTTTGATAGGAAAAATATTTATTTGAGTCACAAACCATTTTTTCAACCCGATTTTTAAAAAATATTGATTTTAGAACTCAGAATCATGAGTCACAAGCCATTTTTCAAACCGATTTTAAAAAATATTGATTTTAGAACTCAGAATCTCATTATAATTCATTTAAATTGTATATTTTGAGCTACTATAACTGTTGATTTATTATTTTGTATTAATATGTTAAAGTTTTCTTACATGGATTATTTTTAATGGTTATAACTCTCTGTTATTTAATAAACATAAAATAAGGAATTAGTTCATACATCTTCATTACTCCGCTATATCAATCTTTTTAAGAATAGATTAATAATCAATATTTTTTATCGGAGCAGTGACTCCTTATAAAGTCTATACTTTAACGGTTACCACTGTGTAACCGCCGTAGAAAATCATGTTGCGTGTTTTGATAACACACATGCGAACAATAATACCAGTAGATCTTAAGTATTCTTTGTGCAGTTTATTGTGCTGGTTGTTTTCTCTTCAGATAGATGTTCACATTATCTCCGTATTCGTCACACTTCTCGCTTCAATGGCAACGCTTAACAAATTACTGAGGGGACAGGGCAGGGAGGTAGTCAACAACGTAACGTAAAATAAAATAAAAGATTGGAGATATATGTACTATAGACAGCATCTTCGGTGGCAGACTCTGTGCCAAGTTTTATTCATTGTGCCGCTTGAATGGTTCTCCGCCCAGATAAGCGCCAATTTTCATTGTTTATGGGATGCTCTGAGAGAAGAAGGTTCTTATCATATAAAGCATAAAAATTCGATTCAAAAATAAATCATAATCAAACTTTAACAGAAATGTAGAATAAATATTGGTAATAACATTTTAACCTTAATTTTAAAAACTATACCGACCAATATTCTTTTTTACTTTAATGTATTTAAATATTTCAAAGTGATTATCATTTTATACATATTTCTGAATTAAACAAAAAAGGTACCTAAAAAATGATTTTTTCGAAGATTTTTTCACAAGATCTTAAATTGTAAGGGTGTCTAAAATTCGATAATACCACTCAAATATTCTTTATTATGGCTTCGTTGTTGTGTTTAAGTGCTCCAGTTCCCCATCGTTCATGGAGACAGCTATTTGCTGCTGCTCGCTGACATTTGCTCCACATTTAACCCGGCAAAGATTGACATGAGAGCGGTCAAAGTTTACACAAATCAATCAGTCAGTCGTCGAGCAATCCAGCGAACCAGGCTGAGTTAACATCATTAGCGGGCGAAATCGAGGCGCTGCCAAGCCAACGCCCTAACCTTGCACAATGCCCACTTCCAGTTCCTCCCCCTTTGTCACTTTTGGTCCCAGTTCCAGTTCTTGGCCCACACCACACCACTCCACTCCACTCTTCTTTCATCTGGCTTTGGGCGCCACGTGCTGGGTAAAACTGCAACTGCTGGGCAATGACTTCATTACCATCGCACTCTTTGTCTGCGACGGTCTCCTTTTTCCCTTTATCCCCTATAAGTAATTATTGTACCGTATATCAAGTATATATACAGTCGAACGTCAATAACTTGGAACCACCATATGTCACTAGAAAAATTTGATAAATTCCCTATCAATGTTTCAGGCATTGTTTACTTTCAATTCGATGCTCCCAAAAAAAAATTACAGGATTTTTTTCTGCCGGGACTCTGCCGCAGCTCTGCCACCACACACAGTGGTTAGCAAAAAATTGTCTCTGTAGATTTATTATAGTTTATATAAGAATTAAATTCATAAATATGAATTCGCAGTCCATGGAATACACATTTTTTCTGCCGGTGGTCTGCCGCCGCTCGAACAGCATACACAGTGGTCAACCGGAAAAGTGGTCTGTATAGATTTTGTATAATTGATAAAGGATTTTTTTTTCGAATAAACTTCATAAAATGATTTTGCAAAAGTTCAACATGCAGAATTCACACTGTACTTATTGCCCTCAATTGCGCAGTGAGTCGAATGCACAATGGTGACAATTTTGCGGAGCAACCCTCGTAAATCTGTGCATGGCCTGCATGCGGGTCACTCCATTCGGGAGTTGCAACTTAGATTTAACATCAGAAAGTTTACGCAACTTTTTGCCAAAAAACCGAAATGAATTTGGAGAAGGGGTGGAAAAAGGAAGGCCCGGCCCTGCGGCACCGGATGTTGCCGTTCCGACTTTCTGACTGCCTCACTGTCTGTCTTTTCTGCCTTTTTCCAGTGAATTCCGCTGTGTCGCAGCGGCATTTCAGTTTCAACTTTAATTTAATATTCATTTTATGCATTTGGCCAGTGAAGCCGGCAGCACAAATTTGTGCAGCGCTTCCTTCCTTCAGAACGCACAAACGAACACATGAGTGCGCATAAAATTGATTCATTTCCATTGTTTAATATGCTTGGCGGCAGCACTTTTTTTTTTCTCTTTCCGATTCGAGTTGTGCGTATGAAACACTCGTCCATTTGAGTTGTACTTCCATAATTCGTCTTTAACGATTTATTTATGAATTGCCATTTGTGGGGGGGACACGCGGCGTATGATTAACAACCCGAACACACGCACACTCGAAATTTATCAGTGTATCTAGCAATTGGGCGCATTATCGGTCATATTGCCGGATGGACGGGTGACTGATTTATGAAAATGTGGGATGTGTCTAGGAAAAGTTACTGATATAACCAAACCTCCCCCCAAATAGGAAGTTACCCCCGATAAGGAGGGTGCCCCAAAGTGTTTAAATACTGTAAAAGCAAATATATTATAAAGATAATTAATAAGTTCTTCCGGTAATGCACCACAAATTGATAGAAAACAGTTGCGGTTTATTGATTGCTTTGGCCGAGGGCTTTTAAATATAAATTTCCGAAAATGAGCAAACAATTTGACAGCACCAAATGTGCGCCATGTGGATTTTAGATACTCATTTACATGCGAAAACAAAATGCAAACAGTAACAAAAAACAAACAAGTGTGCAAGCACTCAATTGAGTGGCATATATGGAAATGCATTTAATTACAGTAATGCCAGCCACATTGAGAGATACAAAATGCATATAATAAGCAAATATTTCGCAGACCCCCGACAACACGTAATCATTACATATACGTATGTAAATCCACATATACCCATTTAACTTTTATCCAACCGATGGCACTAACTCACAATTATAATAAAATCCACTTGACAATGGAGGAAAACGCCTTTGTTTAGCTGGGAGTTTGCTCTGAATGGAGCAAGTGCGCCAGCATCCAGTATTCAACCAACTCTATTATTCAGACAATGTCTGTGATAATGACATCTGATGACATGTGGGTCATGCTTCCTCCTATGGACAGGTTTTCAACGATTCCGCCAAACAAAGTAGAGCGTTTGAAAAGGTTGTATGCCCTCTCCAGCAAAATCTTACTCTAAATTAGAACAAAGCTCTCTTAACCTTAATATGAGTAATTGTAAGTATTATATAAGGCACTATAAAAAGCATTCAAATTGTGAGAGTTTCTAAAATATTTTTGGGGAAACTTTTTAAACATCATTTCTTTGTATATTTAATCTTATCGCTTTGATAGTAAAAGAATACTATACATCTGATAAGGGGGCTATTTTTATTATCAAGCTTGTATTAGATTGCCATTAACTGAAGTTTACTGAATATAAAATGATTAATAGTGTGACTACTAAAAAAATATTGGCCAACATAAGGTTAATATAACACTCAGTTAATTTATTATGCATTTTTTCTCGTCAGAGTGAATTTTACACTGACGGAGACAACTTTTTCAAACTCGTTTACTTTGAAAGTTAAGTACGTATTTAAATTGAAATATTTTCATGATGATTTATACTTTTTTTGTGTAAAATAAGCACTATATCATCCAGTTTTGGAGCAGGGTATGTGTCATGGATATTTATGGTTTACCTGAAATATAAAATCGTGTCATTTTTGGGTCAGAGCTTTAAGGATCGCAATCTTCCTCTGCTAATGGGCAGCCCGATAATTAGCTAATTTTTATTTTTCCCGGGAAGCAATAAGCCTAACCGATTCCAAGTTAATTTTAGTGGGTTTAGGCCAACCCAAAAACCACTTGACCCACATTCTGGTGGTTTCCCTTTCCGCAGCCGGCGAGTTCCCAGTTCCACTTTGTCGGCGACCTCATATTGTTGGTTATAACACAATTAATTAATTAAATTCTTAAGCCTCCCCAGTGGCACTTAAGTGCAGGGGCGGCGGATGCGGATGCGCCAGGGGGGTCAAGTGTGAAGATGGGCTCCCCTTTTGCCCCTTTGGTGGGCAGCTCATTTAATCCATTTGCAGTTGAGCTTCTGCGGCGGTTTGAGTCACACAGCAAGTAGTGCAGGCAGTGCTCTTTCATTTAATTTAAAATTATTTTCCGCCTAGAGACCCCCTTCTTTCATTCCCCTCCCCCTATTCCATTTGCCATGCACTTGCCTTAACGACTTTTTTATTTAAATACGTTTGTTGACATTGCGGACTTGTTGGAGTGAGCATTGTGTTCTCTATTCCGCTCCTTCTTTAATATCTACCCCCAGCTTTTTCCCCCTTTCGGCCCGGCTTTGTGTCCGGGCAAACAAAAAGAGTGATGTAAGCCAAGCCTTTTGGGATATTGCATTCATCGTAAAAGTAATTATGGCCTCAGCCCTATGATGATCCTGCCAATTTCCAGTGGCACTTCAAGTCAACTTTATGAAATTTAATATTAAATTTCCCTAAGCTGGCTAAATGCTCATTAAAATTATTCAGCACTGGGAAAAGGGTAAATATTTACTTGGGATGCTATAATAGTAATTATATTTAAGGAAGGTTCAGAGAAAATTTTGGATAGAGCATATTTTCAGTTCAATTTTAGGATGTCATAATATATAGTGAAGAAAATATTTTTTTAAAAATGTTGTATGGGCAGTAACTAAAATTTAAAACGACATATTTTAAGAACTTATAGTTTTAGTTTCATTAGTTTTAAGTTACAGGTAATTGGTTTTGGGAAAAAGTCCTGAAGTAGGCTATACTTTTTTAAACATTTCTTGGCTTCTCAACTTAATCATAATTAATTTTAGAGGGCCATTTTTGTGAGTGTACTTGTGGGGGGTTTTTCCAGTTGGCTTTGAGTTTTAGCTGCTTGCCAGGCCGACGCCTGCCTAATGTGACTGACCTAAATAGTGCAAACGCTTGGCTGGCACTTTGCCTACTGCGGAATCCGGGATGTGTGAGAACGTACACTCAGCAAAATATTGGGCGTCCTGATGATCAGTCATTTTAAGCTTTTAACATGGAGTTAAACTGCTGTATGGAACAATGAATTTTAGTCAACTTTTCATCGAGAAAATTAAACGAATTTGTCTATCCCAATACTTGAACTTTATGTTAACCTTTCTTACAGTCAACCAACTAAAGCTTTAACATGACATTGAGAAACCGGCTGTAAGGAATATAAAAATTTGGCCTTTACAGTATTTTGTTTGTACTTTTGAATATTGTGTGTCTTAACAAGGCTTTCTTCTTTGAATTTCTATATAATTTCCTTTTTTGAAGTTATTACTTATCCCTTTATAAGTATAACCCACGGTTATATTTTCCGAGTGCGAAAGTGTGGGTATGTGTGCTCATTTGCTGAAGTGTTTGCCTGCGCGCCAGTTGAAGTGCCAAGAACGGAGCGATGCGAGGTCTTCAACTGGCATTTTAAATTATAAAATACTTGCTATTTAGCATCTCCAGAATTCATTTAAATCAGGCTGCCGCTTTCGCGACGAGCAGCGCAAATTGAAGCCAGTTAGAGGCGGTTGGCAGTTTGAGTCGAATGGATGGATGGGATGGTATAGCTGAAATGAAAAAGAAGAGGCTCTGGGAAAGGCAACAGCAGCCATAAAGCACTCACAGCAGCAACATCTACAGTAGCAACAGCAACAGCTACGCAGCAACAGCAACAGCTACGGCAGCAACATCCACAGTAGCAACAACAGGAAGCAGTTTGCCCATTTTCATGGCACTGAAGCATTTCATTTTACATCTCCCCGCTCCCAAAATCCCCCTGTCTGTCTGGGCGTGCGTTTTATTAGCTCCTTTCGTTGATATGCTCATGCCGTGCTCGCTCGTTTGTCTTTCAACAAGGGAGCCCACATTCACATTCACATCTACATCCACATCCAGTCAGCCCCACAGACACCACCTCCACCAAGAGTAGTGGAAACACCACCATCAACATCAGCACCACCCTAGCAGAAGGCCGGCTTCCTCGTCTTGCGGCGCCTCCCAGACTAAAGAGTGTGCCTTGCATTTGTAATTGATACACGGCGAAAAATCGGACATGACCTGGCCAGAATTTTAATCAAGAACCCTAAGATCCAACGTGATGGTGGGGAAATGCCAGGCAAAAATACCTAACGATTACTTGTAATTCTCTGAATAGATTACTAATCTATGCTTATAAGTCAGGCATTGATAGAGCATTCCTAAATATATTATATAGTTTGTTCAGTAAATCAAACATATTTAGGAAGTGAAATATTACAAATATTCTGAGATTTTAGGATGACATTTTTAAATATTATTGATCAAACATAAACTATTTCAAAGTATTCCACACTGTGAAGTATGTATAGTATGTTGAATGTAATGAAGGGTTCAGTAAACTCAATGATGAATTTGAACCAAGATTCCAGATGGCTTTTTTTGCCAATCAAAAAGATACGCATTTTCAGTTATATGGGATTTGGCCAAAGACAAAAACCAAAGTTGGCAGTGTAATCGTTGCCATAGCCAGCATATCCAGCATTGCGGATACATCCAGCCGCTTTCTCAGCCCGACAAGGTGGCTCCAGTTTGAGTCTCGCTACCGGAGTTAGCTCCCACTTGGATTGGTGGTATCCATGTGGCATCATCCACGAGCCAAAGTGTTCGATTGCCGGCTCATTGTTCCGGGTTCTCGACAAAGAGACACCCCCATATTCATGCGTTCCTATGTGTGTTCGCATGGCTCCATAAAAATACGTTCGAATGCATAAATTTTCCTTTCATAGCATAGCCATTTGCCTATTTATAGTTGAAGTATTTATTGTTGCTGGGCCACTCGTGGCATGCTCAAGTGGCCACTCATGGGGGCACTTTAATTGCCACGCCGTCCATCCTGGGGCAATGTCATGGCCAAGAGAAGTGGCAACGCAACTGGTTGTAATCCAACCGTTTGTAAGACTCTGGCTTTTCCTGCTCTCATTTTCATTTTCGTATTTTCTTTTTTCCTCCTTAACAGCCATCCACAACTGGCATGGCGATGTCCGGTTTGGTTTGCCACTGGACGTCGGTGATTCCGTGGACATTGTGGAGGAGTGCAAGCACTGGTATCGCGGCTCCTGTCCCCGAAAATCGCGGGCAGTGGGTCTTTTCCCAAAACCTATATACACATCAAGGACCTGTCCAAAATCGATCCCGTGGTCGCCGAATGTACACAGGTCCTGCGAGAATGGTCGGAGATCTGGAAGCGCCTCTATGTGGTAATTATGTTTAATAATTACTATTAAAAGTTAAAGTTTAACTTTCTTACACTCTTTTTTTTAGGATCGCGAAGCTTACAAGTTTCAAACCCTGCGAAAAGTTATGTTTTCCATATTGGAAAGTCGGCGAGAACTTTTGAGTGCCACCATGACTCAGGATCAAACTCTGGAGCTTCAGATGGTTGTGGTTTCGAAAATAGATTGGGGCAATCGGTAAGTTAATAGTCATAAATTATGCAAGGCAACTAAATAAAATCAGAATAATATACCCTTTTTGAAGACTGAAAGTTATAAAGCTAAGAACCACTTCATTGATAATATTCCAAGCATACTTCAAGCAGATCCGAAGGTTTTCTTTGTTTACAAATATTCCCACTGACTGCGTAGTACTTCAGTTGTAATTCAAACCTCTGGCTAGAACAATGTGAAATCCAAACTTCATGTTTAGAAATCCCACAGTCATTTCCCGCCAAACTGATAAATCCAGAGTTTAGCTGAAATTGTATATAGAATATTTATTACAACTTTGAACTTAGATAGCTTGGGTTCTCTTTTGCTTTATGTAAAATGTGTTCTTTTCTAGCAATAATCACAATAATTTTGTTATAAACAAAATTGCTTAAAATTACGATATATCTGTAGACTAAATGTTAGGACAAAAATAGCGAGAGCATTGTGTATACTCGTTTAAATATTCATAATTATATTCCTCGTCGTACTCGTATCATTCGATTACTACAATTTTATATAGATCAACGTTTCGTGAGCGTGCGTGAGCGATAAGCAGACATTATAGCTGCATAGGTATTCTTCAATATGGAATCGATCGATCATAGATCATCGATCATCCGAACTATCGAGCTAACTGTTAAACTTAATTGTATATTTAAAATGGCGCATCATTGTCAAAGACCTAACTACGATACCAAGTAGCAAAATCGTTTGATGGGATATCCTTCTCGTTCAATCTTCAACCTACAAATTGCACGGTCTGCCTGTGTCCCTCTTTTCTTTATTTATTTTTTATGGTTTTTTTTAATAATGTTTTTTATGTTTATTGTGTCTTCTCCCTCAATGTCTCACTCTGTGGCTCACCTCGTGTCAATGACGAACTGCACCTGTCTTTCTCTTGCCTAGGACCGAATTCAAAGATTATTTCCTTATAATTTTGCTAAATATATTTCGCATAGAATATTATTGAGTTGGATCTCCGAAAGTTCAATTGTTGATTCGTTCTCTCTCGCAGTCTTAGTGGTAGAAATGGAAATGCCTAACTCATGACACACAACTCCTCTCCCTATCTCATCTCATCCCCCCTACAAATATTATTGAGAAATCATTGAAATCATTGTTGTTTGCTTGGAAGCCAATCCGGATGAACTGGCTCATGTCTCCGTCTCCTTGCCGCCGCCGAAGCTCTCCACGGGCGGGTATATTGGATGGCTGATGGGGTTCATTTCCAGGGTCGATGGGGCCGAGGGGGTTCGGGATGCTCCAAGGAGGCCGCAAAGCTGTTGCAGCATATCGCTGTACGATCTTGTGCTGAGATTCTGGCTAAGGAAGTGCAAGATCAGGAAGTCACCAATCTGTTGGGGATACAAAAAATGTATTTAAAACAATTTCTAAGGGTAGTTTTAGTTGGGAACCCACCTCCAAACGTCTGACCAATCCGGCGATTTCCTTGCGTTGTCCTGAGCGATAAGAACGCTTGATGATGGTCTCCCGGGTGGTGGGCATCATGATAACCACCAGTGAATACAGCACAGCCACGCCGAGATGGTGGCCAAGATGATAAACCAGAACCTTTAAAATAATATATGTTAAACATCTGCTTGAGAACACATCCCACTCAAATACTCACCACAGGAAGATGTAGATTTCTCGTTAGGATATTCAATGCCAGCACACAGAGAGTGTCGTGCTTCTGGATCGATCCACTGGGACCGAACTTGCGGAACGTGCACTTGGTTAGTCGGGGGAAATCTCATCATGGGATCGAAGCGCTTTTCCTGATCCATATTCGAGAACTTGAGCACATCCGTGCCGTAGGACATGAAAGCACCGCCCAGAAACTTATCCACCATAAAGATATTCACAATCACATTGATAAAGTTTAGCAGTTCGCATATGAAGTAGGCAAAGGAGTAGCCGTTGTGCGTGTTCAAACTGTTCACGAAGTACTTGAGGATCCTATCCTGACGATCCCGCGATAATCATCCGGCACACTGACCATTCCACGCAGTCCATCGGTGATCATGCGGATCTTGCCGTCCTCCATGTTCTTCCAAATCCAATGGGGCACGTAGAACATGAGGCCCTGAAATAATTTACAGATTAGTGTTGGTCGGAAGTGGGAATTACAATAAATTAAAGACACAAGATTTGTCACGCTTTAAGTGAACTATAAGTGATAGGCTCCAGACACATTAAGACTTCAATTAAGTTCATTTATTACAGACAGAATTTTTCTAAAGCAAAATTATGAAATCTTCATGTAAATTGGGAAATCAAATGGAACTATCCATTTAAAAAGTTTACTTGGGGATCGGTTCTAAGTATTATCATGAAATTAGGTTACCAAATAAACATATAACAAATGATACATTATTATTTATATAAATAGCCGATTCTATAAAAATGATTTTAGTCTTAGTATAGTAGTTCTCATAATCGTTCACTCACCTGGAAAAATAGCACGAATGGCACCCATGGTAGTAGCTGTGATAGCGTTTTCTTGGCCATATTCATTGCCCAAACCCGGAGAGGCCACGTCCGTTCCAATCTGCCGATGCTGTTGGCCAGGTATCGTAAAGTGTATGTAATCCAGCAGAAGGTGTTGATCACGTGCATCGGTATGGAGCCATCGTTGATGCAACTTATGGGATCGCCTGCAATCGCAAAGATAAAGATAATTTTTTTAGATATATGCATTCGACCTCGCTGCAATTCGGATTAAGAAAAATGTACGCGCATTCCCGAGACCAGAAAACAGAAACTCAGAAACCTCGCAAGCCGTTCGTCAACGTCAAGTGCCATTAGGGCAATCGCAATCTCTATGGGTCCCCGCTCCACGGTCCCCAATTTGTCGACTGCGCAGTGGGTGCGGTTACGACTATGCTACGGTTACATTTATTACGGTTGCAGACGTGCCTAGGTAAACCTGCAACATTCAGGCGGACAGACAGATAGAGAGCCTTTTTCGTTCTTTTTTGGGTGCGCCCCAACTTGAACATTAACTCTGCCTCCAACTCCTCCCCAACTCACTCCCCTGTTTTTGGGCAAACAAAGTGGATACAAATGGAGCTGCAGACGATGTTGGTGCGGGGTGGTTGGGATGGGAAATTCCCAGAACCAACCGTCAATATTTGACTGTGGTTTTGTCAGATGTTCACTTTTAGAGCACTTCTTTTAATGCACAAATATTTGTCTTGAAGCTGGGCGAAGCCTAGATCAGAGATTGAAGTCACTTAAAATGGGTATTAAAGTCAGGAACTTTAGGATAGAACTATTTAAATAATTGCTGTTAACTAATAGCCAGTTATTTGAAACTCTGAAACTATAAATCCCTTAATTAGATGAAAATGTTATAAAATAATCAAATATTTAGAACTTGTTCGTAAGTATTTGTTTGATATTGTTGTTTCTTAATACTGATAGTAGTTTTTGATTATTCCAAAGGTTAATGGCTTAAACAAGGACACTTTCTTATCAACCCCTTTCAAATCATCATGTTATGATTAAGTTTAGCAATCTTGAAATACTCTAAGCATGTTCAAGTGTAATAATCTTCTAGCCAAGGCCCGTTTGAAAGTGCGTGGGAATGTAAAATAATATTTATTACAAGTATCATTATGTAAGACACTTCACTGAGCCCAGCTTGAACCAGATACATTGATTTTCACGCCAATTCCAGGCGAAGCACAGGCCACCACCCGTGGCGACCGAAGAATGAGTCATTCGAGTAAATGGCTTAGCCTGAAATCTGATGAACGTGTTGCGGCCAATTTGTGAAAGCTCTGCACGAGTTTGTTTTTTTGTCTTTCTGTTTCGAAAAGTTCAATTTCAAATGGGTCGAATCGTATTTCTTGGATTTTAGTGCTGCATTAGCAGCAATACTGCAATTGCAAAAGCAAACTTGCTAACTAGGCTGTTTGGATGCTAATCACTTGCATAGATGCACTAATTTTTCGATCCAATCACGATGCGTGGGAGGTGCTAACTTACCGATCAGATTGTTTGCGGTGACGATGATGCAACAGGTGAACAGAATGGCGGTCGTGATCCTGTAGTGGCACCGGAAAACCATGTTGTCGATGACCGCCTTGTCCAGCAGATAGCGTATCTTGATGAAGCCGGACACAGCCGAGACCATGCCAAAGACCGCCATGTTGATGGTTGGTGTGCTGCTGCAACGAAGCTAACTGCAATGGGAAAAGGGAGCAATAATGAAATGAGCATGAGTACACTGGGAAAAACAAAATACTAGCTTAATCATAACTAATAGGGAAATAATGATGTCTTCCAACTTAAATTATCCTAACCCAACATTATAACTTATCACGTATAACCTTCCCCAATCTTTAACTTATAATCAGTCTCATAACTTATAATAACTTCAGTAATATCCATCCCCGAAGGATATCATTTTTTTGAAATCCCTTTGAACCCTTTTTAGTTTGTGGATTTCTAAGATATAAAAGGACTTTTCCTTGGGATAGGATGTGGATGTTCAGAACAATTATCTTTTCTAAGTGCACTGGCATCGTCTTTTTTTTTTCCATACTTGATTGTGTACTGTGTTTGCCTTGTGCGTTATCTAGGACAGACATGACATATTCCAATTATTTCACCACCCTACCACAATAACATGCTTCCTCTCCACTCCCAATCTGAGTTCCAGTACCACTACCAGTACTATAGTACCCATCCCATTTTGTCTGGTTCTGGGTCCGGGGCTCTCGGCGTTATCGTCGACAAGCCGCACTTACAATTAAGTAAGTGCTTGGGCAGTGCCGGAATTGTTTGTTGGGAACATTGCTGGCATAGCTCTCTCCGTCTCTCGAAACAATATGTTGTGCAATCTAATCTAATCTGCGCTAAGCCAGAGCCCAGGTTGAATGCCCCGTGCCCCCCGAAATCCTCCAGTCCCCCCCACAAATATGCTACACACATAGCTAAAGCTAACAAGTTCATCTCAAGATCTTGGTCTTCAGAACCGGTACAGCTTTTTGTCAACCCACGCATAAATTTCACTTTGTCCCCATATAACCAAAAAGAGCCCGAATTTATCATGGGGTTTTGTTTTCTTTTTCCACTTTTTTTTTTCATGTCGGTGCTTTTTGGATTTCGATTTGGGTTTTCGACTCGCCATGGATCAGGTTCTGGTTTGCTTTCTTCTTGGCTCTTTTGTTTATATGCAAATTTTTTTTGGTTTCGGGCTATTGTGTGTTTTATGTGTGTGTTTTGGCTGTATTTCATTTCGGCACGACAGATCGTATAACTCCGAAACCGAGTCGGAATCGAAATCCGTAACTCCGAGAGCAAGACAGACGCACACCAGCGCACGCACAGGCACATAGAGTCGTCTCTGTCGCACGCATGCGAGCAGCAATTAAAGTCGCAAAGTATCTGTATCTGCGCAACGGCAGCTACTCCTTTTAAATGCATCAGCTTCTGCACTGAACATTCAATCTTACCACGCACACCAGGGCACAAACACAAAACACCACACACACACACAGATACGCGGAGAGCACTTCATTTCGAACCAACTTCAATTCTTGCCTTTTTTTCCTTCAATACAAATTTTTTTCTTTTATTTTCGAAAAAAAGACAAAAAAGAAACTGGTTTTAAGGTATTTTCTTTTTGGGAGCGGAGCGGGCGCGATCGGATCCGATCGGTTGTTGCCACTGTTCTCTCTCATTTTGTGTCGTTTTCCTTGGTGGATTTTTTTTCTTTTTTTTTTTTTCTTAAGGTGTTGCTACCAACATTGGCAACACAGCAACCTGCCAGTTGGCCAGAACCGAACTGCGACGACCCCTTCGCACACTTAAGTGATTCTTTTGCTCCTGCTGGATGCGAAGTATCGTACAATTTTTTTTAGAGCTCTCCGCTCGCATTTAAATTTATTGCTGCCACTTTGACACTTTGGAAACTCGTTTTCGCTGCTTGTATTTATTATTTCTGGCTGGTTTTTGTGTTTCTTTCTTATTATATTTTGTATGTTATTTATAACTTTGTTGCAGAGATTCAAGATTTCTATTATACACAAGTACAAACACTGGCACAACCACTCGAGCACACCCAGACCAACTCAGCTGTGGAGCTGGAATTGCATTCGTAACTGCATTCTGTGGTGGTGTGCGTGCAGCTTGGTGGTTGCTCAGTGGTGCTGAGTTGTGATTTTAGAGACTCAGACTGAGAAAGTTCCCATCCATCCATACCCGTATCCGTATCTCGAAAATATGCAGCTGCTCTCAGCGGCGTTCAAAAACCTACTAACACCAGATTTTCAGAGCCGAACCGAACGAACCATAACCACACTGAGTTCCCGAGCCGCGAGAGAGTCTCTCTTGCGATCTGGGTGGTTTTCCCACTCCTCTCCAGCGGAACCAGCGATCGCAGCTGGTTCCCGCTCACAATTCGAAATTACGCTCAAGCTGCATTCGCGCATTACCTTTTACCTGTGATGATATGAGACCCGGTGTTGTACCTGTAGAGGGAGAGTAGCCACCCAACCCAACCTCAGGTCGCTTAGGTAGTTCACTCCGAATCTCTGATTTTCCCTCGATCTTGAACTGTCTTGAATGCGCGACTGAAAACATCTGGATTGAAAATCTGTAAATCCATTGATTAGTTAGGTCTCTGGGTTGAGAGGGGGAGATTTTTATTGTCTTCTACAACTCTATCAGCCAGATCTTGATTTTAATTAAGCTGATCGCCGTTGGAGTCATTCGGGCTATACAAAGATTTTGAAACACAATGAGCTAGAACTGGAACACCACATAAAACACTTACGGAACATAAAAGGGGAACCAAAATAGGGAGCAACGACAAAAAATAGTTATACCTATAGGGTTCTTACAGGTTCTCTTACTGACTATACAAAATGTTATTAAAAGTTTCAAATTAATATTATATTGGAAAAATATCAAATGTTAACTTTTGTTCTACTAAGAATTAGTTAGTAAACCTCATCTTTGATTTGGCGTTGTAAAGGATATTACATAAATATAAAGTTTGGGGTCAAAGATTAAATTCTTCATATATATATAATATATGTTATATAATATAATATCATAAATATATTTCTTAATCAACCCAAATACCTATCTGGACTGCCCATTCATCTATTAATCACATCAAAATTTATGGCGTTCTAGATGCAAACCCAAGTAAATGAAATTAATGAGGTGGTACCGCAAGTACTTTGATAATGCCCCTTTGAGCCGAGCCTCATTATAAAAACGTATTCCAATTAATTCCGCGGAACTTGTGGCTGCCTGTCCTGCCTCTTTAATTTATCGCCGATTCCATGTCCAGCGAATCCTCTGGCAGCACAGACGCCGCTCTGAAGTGTCCGCCAAGTGGGTCCGAGGAACTATTCGTATTCCAGGGTTAAATGTGTCGTTGCTGATCGGCAGGCACACACACACTATCATATAGGGTCCAAAATGAAGATCCATTTGCATGCTGAGAGCTAGACAAGCAACTCCAAACTTGTTGCCAGGCATTCCTCTCGGGTTCCAGGTCCCTGAGGTCCCCAGATACCCAACCTCCCCCCTAACAAAACCTGCAACTCCTTGGCTGGTTGAATGACTCAGCTCGGTGGCTTTGGCTGTTCTTCGGTCTTGGCCATAATGAAATGGCATTTCGAAATGGCTGCTGCTGCCGTAGCTGCTGTTTCCATGTCCTGAACCTCTGCGCTCCACTTGGCTTCTCTGCGCGTTGCACTGTTTGTTTATTGTCGGTTCCTGATGTCTGTTACCTTTTTCCCGATGGCCCGGTTGGTTGCCTGTGGCCTCTCGCCAGAAATGTATCTGCGAGCTACACCTTTTATAAAGACATTAAATACGAAATATATGGCATGTGTGATTGTGATATGCCGTGTATCTGGGTTGCTGGCGAGGCGAGACCCATAGATACAATGCCATCGAACGCGTTGCTTTTGTTTGTGGTTGACAGCTCTGCTTATCGAAGTGTAAATAATTAAATTTTTCTGTATCGTCTGGGGTCTCCATCTTGTTGCGTCTTCTCGCCTCGTTCTCCTTGTTCTTTTCTTATTTTTTTTTTGTTGTGTCATATCTTCATAGATTTCCAACACTTTAGGCGAGGCTTAATTAAAAAAGAATTTGTTCAGATAAGCAAGGCATCTCTAAGGGTTTTATTTTGGGGATAGATATTCGTTGCCTTTCACCTGTTGAGCTTTGGGTCAGGCACTTAATTAAAAACGACTTAAAGTGTTCATTACCAGCATGGCTACCGTTTTGCTTTTTTTTTTTGCTGGTCGACGGGTCCCAGGCAGCCGCGCACGCGCTCCTCTCATATTTGTATCCATGAGATACATTTTCGAGTCGCAGTGCTTCATTTGGTCACGTCAACTCAGAGCCAGGCCAGAGCTCCCGGCGTAACAGAGGTGGCTCAAACCCCACACATATTTATTTATTATATATTTCTGTGTGGGGAGAGAGACAGAGAGAGCTGAACATTCCCCAGAGATCTGGGGAGAGCATTTGGGTTTCTCTACCACTACCACTTCTCTACTGGTTCCAGTTCCAAAATGGAGATCCTCTCTGGCTTTGACCCGCTCTGTCTTCTGAGTATTCCACCTGAGCCACGGCCAGAGCGAAGCCGTTTAGGCCTCGTTAACAGCAAAACGGCTTCTTCGGCTTGTTCTGGAGGTGGTATTGTAAAAGATGCCTGGCTCTCTCTGCGTAAGCCAGGTAGAAGTCCAGCGTAGCCGAGGTAGCAGCATCGTCAACGACGTCGCGACGTCGGGCAACATATTGCTGATGACGTTGGACGTTGCTGGCCAACCTGGCTATGAACCTGGCCCAAACTCTGGCCAACTCTGGGTCTCTGAGTCTGCTCCTCCTCCTATCCACTCCCTCCTCTCTCCACTCCTCTTGAACTTTTCTTCTTCTCGCATGCGCCACCGGAATGCCGTGAACCCATTAGCTGTGTAGTTTTTTGTGTACCTCATCTGACTTGGCTGGATCGGCTGTAAGCAGCCGAAATTTATGCGTCATGCGGGCCATGCGATGTGTGTCCAAGATCCGTGGATGATCATCATCCCATCATCATAATGATCATGTAAATTCCAATCGGTAGCTGCCGTACGAAACAGCAGGCACGTACCGGCCATAGATAGTGTGAAGTTAATGATCGACCCAATCCATTTAGATACGATCTTTGTCGATAGAAGTCGATTGATTTCTAGATTTCAGCTACTTTCCGAAAGTTGAGCGGAGTCGTGACAGGTTCTCTGCCTGCCTTGGCACTGATTCACTTTGATTTGCATGATGGTACGGTTTTCTCAGAACCGGGTAACTTGAGGGGCTACATTGACCTGGTAATGATATTTAATATGTTCATATAAAGTTATGAAGAATATTGAAAATATTAGTACATGCCAATTGAGAACTTTATAAATTTACATAAATAAAGACATTACTTAGTTAAAAATTTTAAAATATTCCTTCCTTTTTTATATTGCACCTCGTGAGATCTTTTATACTAAACTCAAGACCTCTTGAAAATGCTAAAATAAATCTCCATTCCCTTCGCGGTGTGTTCTATTTATGGGACTGCACGGTGATTAATGATGATCACCCGTGATGACTGACCAAATTTGTATTTAATTCTTGGCGCTCCGCACGACTCCGTCAAGCGACAATTAATTACGAATGCGTCAATTCCCTTAAAGCTCTGATGGTTTTCCAAAACAACCAACTGGACTGCATTCGAAGGGTTCCCCTCAAGCTCCCGCTCCCATGATCCATTAATTGAAATGTGTGTCTTTCGTATCGGAACGTGACAAAGTGGCAAAGTTGTTTTAGCTGGGTGTTTCCTTCCTATAATATGCATCACTATCAATCACCAACAAATACTTTTCGATCTTTGCAGTAAACTCGGTCTGGACTTGGTGCCCAGAGAGGGACCTCTGGCGGTGGATCCACATGGCATTGGCATTGTCAAGCTCTACAATGTCACGTGAGCAGTGCTGATAACGCCAAGGCCTCATCGGTATGAATAATAATTTGAATAAAATCCAATGGTATTGTATTTATTTTGGATTTGAAACCTTATAGAGTCGGGGAACTTTGAGGCGTAAAACGCAGCGAAAGATCCTCACCCACCATCTATACTTTTGCATGCGCGATTTCGGCCATCGGATAGGTGGCGATGATGCAGAGGTCTACTTCTTTCTATACGATGGAAGTCACATGCGACCGCTCTCGGAAAGGTTTCTGGTCAAGATCTCCAAAGATGGTTTCTCCAATTACATTGAAAGGTTGCACAGCAACTGCACGGTGTTTACTGATCTGGGTAAGTGATATCTTTCATCTAAGTAATATAACTCGCATAATAATAGATAGATAGATAATACTTATAAATAAAAGAAATGTTTCTGATGGATAAGATAAGACAAAGAATTCTAAAAGCAAGTCGAATAAATGTTAATTAATTCTTTTCACCTTAATTAAATTCTTTAAATTAATTTAATATCTTCAGGTGCCGCTGATCTTAATGAGGATCTCCACCTTGTGGCCGTAGTAATGCGCGTGGGCAAGATCATTCAATCGGACTCCATCAAGAAGATTGAGAAGAGTGGAACCTTAGGCCATGGACCCACCTTTCGACGTCCCTTTGGTGTGGGTGTTCTTTCCCTTGGCGACATTGCTCATTTTGATAATAGTCTGGAGCAATCCTCCGATGAGCGGGAGTATAACTTAAGCTGTTCCAGAGTGAGGAGAAGGACTTTCATCTGCTGCCCGAGCTGATTATCAAAAGTCAGTGGAAAGTACTCGCCCATTCAGACTAGTCAGGGAACCCAAGGATCGTTGTTTCCCTGAAACTTTGCACGGTGGTTGGGACAAGCAAGCAGGAGCACCGTTGCTCTTCCAGGGCTCCACGATTACCAGGAAGATGGGCTTCCCGGATGTCATAATGCCCGGAGATGTTCGCAATGATCTCTTCCTGACTCTGGAGCGTGGAGAGTTCGAGCGCGGTGGAAAGAATACGGGGAAGAACATCCTCGTCACGGTTGTGGTTCTCGATGTTACGGGCAATGTCCTGACCGATTGCCTCTGGGGTGCCTCCGGCATGGACTCCCAGCCGCAGTACCGATCCATGATCCTTTACCATCAAATGCTCCCAGTTGGAACGAAATGCTGCGGCTAAGTGTGCCCATTGATAAGTTTGCCACGGCTCATGTGAGATTGAATTCAGGCACTGTTCCACGAGGGATAAGACGGAACCCAAGCTGTTTGCCTTCAGCTTTGCCAGACTCATGGACACCGGAGGAGCCACTTGGGCGATGGTCAGCACGAGTTGTATGTGTACAAGTGCGAGGATCCTGCGAAACTGCAGGCTTCCAATTATCTTAGGTTGCAGTGCAGACCACGGGATGCACAGGCCAAAATGGATTGTGGCGGTTGCTTCAGTCGTAGCTCCAAGGAGTTGTTCGTCCTGCGATCCCTGCTCTGCTCCACAAAACTCACCCAGAATGCAGATCTCCTTTCGTTGCTGCAGTGGCGCACATATCCCGAAACGATTCAGGATTCGTTGACGGGAGTCCTGCGACTAAACGACGAAGAGCTGGTCAAGTTCCTGCAGGATGTGCTGGACGCACTGTTTGCCATGTTCTCCAATGAGGAGGGTAACAGCACCCAGCACTCGGGCCTGGTCTTCCATGTCCTCGTGAGCATCTTCAGTCTGCTGCAGAGCAACAAGTTCCAACACTTTCGACCGGTGATGAACGAGTATATCGAAAATCATTTTGCGGCCGCTTTGGTCTATAAAGGACTCATCACCTCCGTGGAGCACATGGCCGTGTTTATGACGAAGGCAGAGCACCCGGATCCATTTCAGAAATGTTTGGTTCCCTGGAGTACATATTCAAGTTGCTTATCCAGTCGAGGAAACTGTTTGCCAGGGCCACCGGTGGCCAGTATGAGGACTCATTCCGGCGGGACCTGCACTCCCTTTTTACGGCCCTCAATGGAATGCTGGCTGTGCCCTCGTACGATGTGATTATACCCACCCAAGAGGCACTGCTAAATTCCACGGGAGTGGTGCTGGAGCAGCTGAAGGACACACTGCCAGCTCCGGAATTGGGCATGCTGGCGAGGAATATGCTGGACGCCATTCCCAGAGGAGCCCCATTCGACTAATTCAGGCGAAATTACATGCTGTCAAGGATCTAGTGTCTGGGGAACTGTTCCATGAGATGGTATGAGTCATTTCCAAATTTTGTAACGTATTTAGCTTATACTTGACCTCTTTCAGATTCCCGCACTGTGGTTCTATCCGTGGCCTGCAAGCACCTTCGCATGCATCTCAGTCGCCGGGATGAACTCCGTCTCTGTGCTGAGATTCTCTCAGAGATTCTTAGCCAACTTCACGATTTGCAGAAGGAGCAGCGGGATAAGGTGACCAACACACTACAGCACGATCTGGACTCGCTGTGCAAGAATATACTTGGCATCCTCATCCGAACTATTAGCATTATAATGGAGGGATCCAATGCAGTGCTGCCCCAGTTGGTCTCCTGTCTTCTGGGTTTATTGCAGCTGCTCGACGAGACCCATTACAAGCGCTACTGGGACGAGCTGAGTCCCAACAAAGATCCCCGCGATCTAAAGGAGTTCCTCAGCAAATCCCTGCTGGTGTACGGGGAGCTGTTGACCCAGGATTGGCATGTGTTCCCCAACGACTGGTGGTAATGAAGCTGGCCGCCAACGATGTGCTGCGCATGTCGCTGGAGGAGTTTGCCAAGCCGCTGTCTACAGATTCCTAGGACCTCAGGCCTTCGATTCGCAGCTGTGGTGGAATACTTCAGTCTGGCTGTTGCTTTTTGACCCAGCCCTCCCTGCAGTTGGAGCAATATAGGGAGCCTAAGCGCTGAAGATACTGCATTCGAATGGCGACATGCGGGTGCTTATGGGCTTCCAGATACTCAGCATGTGGTCGCAGCTGGGCGAGCAAAAGCTGCACTTTATTCCTCGATGGTGGGACCATTCCTGAGGTCACTTTGGTGCCAGAGCCCGCTCTGCGGAAGGCCACTCTCACGGTCTTTTACGACATGATGCAATGCGAGCAGGTGGGTTAATGTTGTATCCCTATAACTATGGGTAATTAACGTAAATGTTCTTGAGCAGGCTGCCCGCGGTTCGTTCCGTCTGGTGGAGAGCGAACTGATTGACAAGCTGGACCTGCTCATCAGCGAGAACAAGGGTGACGACGAGTACAGGGAGCTATTTAGCACCATGTAAGTTGCTTTGCTTTATTGCAAACTTAACCAAAAATGTACATAAATGTTTGTAAATGTCTGTAAATATATGACTCACTTCACACTCATTGCAATCGCCATCCATAAAAAGGGAACATCTCAGCTTGGTGTAAGTTTAACTCAGTGCAATTTTTTCCTTTTGCCTTAATGTAGTTTCTCCGTTAGTCTCTATTAGTTCTTTTTGTTGTTTAAATTTCGTATCCCTTGATGATATTTAAGGCATTGAGTAATTGTAATTTTTGTGTGCCATCAGTTTGCTGGAGAAAGTCCAAGTGGAGAATCCCAACTGGAAGGAGGCTGGCATTGCCTTTATAGCATCAGTCACCCGACTTTTGGAGCGACTTTTGGACTATCGAAGCGTCATGCAGGGCGAAGAAAATAGAGATAAACGCATGACTGCACCGTAAACCTCCTCAATTTCTACAAAAACGAAATCAATCGAAAGGAGATGTACTTGAGGTAAATTCAATATTAGAAAACATATTTCTTATTTTAATGTTATTTTTACCCATTAGATATATCTACAAATTGCACAACCTGCACCTACAGGCGGAAAATTACACAGAGGCTGGCTTACTCTAAAACTTTATGCCTCCATGCTGAGTTGGGATCGGGAGACCCAGAGCTTTGCTCCCTTCGACAACAGTGGTCAACCAGAGTGGCAGCGCAAAGAGCGACTTTATCATGAGTTAACCTAAATCTCCGATATCATAAAGAATTTATATAAAGCTGATATATCTTCCAGATCCTCAAATACTTCGACAAGGGAAAGTGCTGGGAGAAGGGCATTCCGTTGTGCAAGGAACTGGCTCAGCTCTACGAAACACGTCGCTTTGACTACAACAAACTTAGTGATATACTCATCCAGGAGGCCAAGTTCTTCCAGAATATCCTTACTCAATTGCGACCGGAGCCTGAATACTTCCGTGTGGGATTCTATGGAATGGGATTGCCGCTTTTTGTGCGGGTAGGTTATAGGCTATTAAAATCTTTGTGATATATCATACTCAAACTTATTCTCTTAAAATTCAAGAACAAGCAATTTGTTATCGTGGACTGGAGTACGAGCGATTGGGCCTTCACACAGCGTCTACAAACTGAGTTTCCCAGTGCCCAGATCTGGGAAAACAGTCCACCGGATAATGCCATACTGAATGCCCGGATCAGTACATACAGATTAGCAATGTGAGACCCGTTGGGGATGCGCAGGCCTTGAAAACAGCAATGGTTCCGGTGCCGGAGAAGATCGCCCGTTCTATGAGGTCAACGATGTGACCCGGTTTATCTACGATCGTCCATGTACAAGGGAACGGTTGACAAGGACAACGATTCAAGTCTTTATGGATAGAGCGCACCATACTCGAGATTGCCAGTCCTCTGCCGGGAATTCTCCGCTGGTACGAGGTGAAACAGAAGACCATGCAGGAGCTAACGCCGGTGGAGTACGCCTGCGAGATCATCAGCAATGCTGGCAAGGAACTATCCGAGTTGATTGTGCAGTACAAACGTGATCCGAAGAGGAATATTAATCCCTTCTCGATGCGTCTGCAGGGCACAATTGATGCCAATGTCATGGGCGGCATAAGCAAGTACCAGGAGGCCTTTTTCTCCGAGCAGTTCCTCAAATCGCCTCAGGGTGCTGGCCAGCAGGCAAATGTGCAGAGACTAAAGGTGTTGATCCTAGAGCAGATTCAGATTCTGGAGCAGGCCTGGAGCTGCATGGCCAGTTGGCGCCCAGTGGTGTCCAACCGCTGCACAATCGTCTCTTAGAGCGCTTTTCCCAGCTGAAGCAGAGTTTATCCGGCATGGGCAGGCTGAAACGACAGCATTCGGAGAGCATTGTAAACACTCCGCTGCCACCGTTGCCCACGGAGCAGCGAGTGGCTCAGGCAACAGCTTCCACCAGCTTGAGTGCCAACTCCCACTCCAATATGTATATGATCTGGACGAGATCTACACGAGACCGGGAGACACTCTACGGCCCGTCGATCCACTCAGCTCCTATCAAACGCTGAGCAAAGAGAGCCTCAGTATTCCCCTGGAGGATGCTGCAGCTCCACCAGTACCAAATCGACCACGGTCGCAGAACTTTATGGGCAATGGATCCATTGATAGCCCTGAAGTTCCGCCCAAGCGTCAGCCGACAGTGAATTCCCCCAATGCGCCACCGTTGCCACCAGGGGTATTACCCCGATAAGAGGGCATCTAATCCAATGATATTCAACGACTTTGGCACCGCCGATTCGGTGGGTCGTCGTCACTCGCAGCAGCAGCAGCAGCATGGCCAAAGTACTCCGTGGTGGACATCAGCTACGACGATCCGGAGGCTGATCAGCAACCCATTCGTTGCCCCCGAACTTTCAGGACGGAAGCGGAGGTCACCTCAGCGTCTGTTTGCCCCCAATGACTTCCGGGACTCGGGCATCTCGACGACCAGCTCCAGGGAACTGAACCACATGAATCTCAACAACCTGAGCGAGGACTCCTCATCGATTTCGGCCATCACAGTGCAGCATCGGGAGCACTGTCGCATCAGCAGTAATGGTAGTTTGGATTACAACGCCACCGCTTCGATGAACATCACACAACGGGAGAGTTCGGCGAGTTCGTTCGATGTCGAGGATTTCCCAGTGCCACCGCCGCCCATTCCGCCGAAATCCTTGGCCGTGTCGAGCAATGGGGTTAGCATTGCGGACGATGAGGCCCACTCACCGCATCCCAGCACACAAGCGCACACCACACAACTCATAACAGTCAGAATCAAAATCATTCCACAAACAGTCACCATAATCAGCAGCAGCAGAATGGAGATGGCGATGGTTATAGCGTGCTGCAGCACCAGGTCAATGGCCTGGGGCTAGCTACTCTTCCACAACCGCCTGTTGCAGCTGCTGCTGTTGAGGCACCACTACCACTTCCGGTATCTGCAATCGCCTCATCCTCATCTAGTCATCAGCACGATGGCGGCACTTTTTGAGTTACAATATGTCGCTGCCATCATCCACCTGATCAGCCTCATCAGCCACACAAGCCATCCTCATCCACATCGACCTCGGACAGCACGGCCACGGATACGGCTTCGGAATCCACAGAGTCCAGTTCGTCGACCCACTCGATGACGCCGCCACCACCGCCTCCTCCGCCGCCAGTCAGTCAGTTCATCATCAGCAGATGCCGGCCACACCTCACTACTGCCAGGACTGTCTGTCCTCGCCATCGCCACCACCCACAATCATCACAGAGCAGGCCCAAGTGCATGCCATGCCGGGAATGACCACTCCCCAGCCCCACATCGAGCACTGCTCGTGTGGGCTGAGTTTCTCGGTGGTGCAGGATCAGCAGGATCAGCTCGGTCCCAGGCTGCTCTCCTCGAGGTTCTCCACACTGGAGCGGCAGACCGATGGCTTTCAAGTGGAACGGGTATCCGGCTGCCAGCATCATCATCACCAGCAGAGTCCCATCTACCATCTCCCCCAAGGCAGTCAGGATGCACATGCTCAGACGGATTTCTCCTACGCGCAGCGCTAAAAGATATATCTATATAGTCCAAGTGGGGGAGTCTTTGCGACCCACAGAGAGTGAGATTGAATTTCGCTTAGTTTTTTAACCTTATTGTTTACCTATGTTTTTAGAAATGCTCTCCATAGAACCCCCCACGTTCGTTTTGAACTACTTTTACTCTAATTATTTTTGGTGCCAAATTTTTGCTGCAAGTCCAAAGCGCAATATAAACAAATGTTGTAATGATAGGTTGCTATACAATTTTATTAATTTTAATATTAATTTTATTTAACATTTACATTTATATTTATACGGGAATTGTCGCTAAAGTTACTAAGAATATTTATTTAAGAGAATAAAGATGAACACATTTTTATAAAGAACGAGAATATCAAATACTAAAACCAAAATACAGAACGCTAATCAAAAACGAACTACGCAAAATATATACACTGAAAACCAAGCAGGACACCGACAAAATGTGCAATGCAGTTTTTACTTTAACGAAGAACATAGCCGTATACACAAAAATTGACATATATACACTCGACTATTACATATATATGCGAAAAGCAATTAGGAATTTTAAAGTGCTACTAGCTTCATAACGAATCAAATAAGTTTTCCATTTTTGTAAATTTTAAAAATAAACATATTTATATAGAGTCTTCATACATGTATGTATCTGAATACACTTCAAAACGCGAATCAATCAAAAGCGTTTAACTCGTATTTAAAAACTAAAAACTAATCATAAAATACAACTAGTCAACAACTCGAATAAACATTGATAATTACGAAAGGAAATTATAAAAAATATTGTCTATAAAAATGCATGGCGCGAATATAAGAATATACTAAAGAATTTAATAAAGTATAAATAAATAAAACGATGATTTCGACCTTTTTAATAATATTTAAAATTTGGGGGCTTAACTTGAACCAGATATGCCAAACGCCACCTGGCGGTAATAAATTCCAAGGGGATTTCCCGATCCAAATTTAAAGACGTTACAAGCACTTTCATTTGCTCATTAAATACACTTTTAATGTTTATTAACCTTCTCAGAAAATCATTTTACATTACTCGTATAATTGTCACTTATTTCTAGCAGCAACTTTAAACTTAAAGCATTGAGTCTGCCTATAATTATTGCTTTGTTTGTTTGTTTGAATTCGTTTGTTAGCTTACGTTTCACTTGTTAGATTTGCTCTCGCTCTCTCTCTTTCGTTCGAGGGGAGGGGGTGGTGTAAATTATTGACACTACTAAAACGCATTACTCATAATTGTTCGCATTGCTAGGTTAAAATAGACCGACGTTCGAAAGAGTTCTATCGTATAGTTAAGTTTGTTTTTGGTTGTATTTGTATACCCTGCCCTAATAATGCTTAACACCTAGGGTACTCGTACTCGTAATCTCGTAATACATAAATATTGCGGTGTTTCTAATAATATTCAATACTCGGGGAGCTCAATAAATACTTGAGGTTAATATTGCGCAATCAATTGACATAAATGATATAAACCCAATTCATATCAAACTCTACTACGTATGTATGTACGTGATTCGTTGCAGTAGCGACTTAGCCAGAAGATTGTATTGGTTTTCACACATGTCCAACTTGAATACTGGGTTTTCTAACTACTGCCACACAACAGTATCAACTGAGTTTCGTGTTTCGTTCACAACTATGCACAGATTGGAGCTTTTACTAGGCTTACACTACCACTAGCTTGCCAAAATTAACAATTTGCATATCTAAAAAGTTCAACTAGGAAGAGATTAGCTTATAGGTGTTCTTATTGTAGAATTTTCGACGAGGTACAAAGTTATACGTACGAGTATTTGAAAATAAGATGTGTTGTCGTAAGCACAATGAGGTACATGTGTATCAACATCATTCAAATCATCATTACAATTACTCATTATTCATTACTCATTAACTATTAGCCATTCCCCAGCCATATCGCAACTGTATACTCAAGAGTTTAGCGTGAAATCCGAAGACTTGGTTCCGAAACATCCTGCCATCCTGTCGTTCGTCTCGTCTCAGTAATTATATAACCTTAATGCTTAATACCACAGTCGAAGTATGTACTATATGTAAATACACCCATACAGTTCATATATGTATGGCCTATACCTACAACTAGATATACATATGTATATTGTTACTGCAACAGCATCGGCGCTCTCTTATACACGGTATATTCAAGTAGAGTTCATCATAGCCATTGCCACCGTTATCGCCATCGCCTCATATCTAGTCTCATCCGGGGATTTGGGCTCGCCTCCGCCGCCAGGCGATGGGTGCGATCAGGGCGCGGATCAGGTGCGTCCGGGCACGGCGCCTGGCCAGGATTATCCAAGGCAAGGGCAGCAGCACCAGCGGCAGCAGCCAATAAGCGGGTCATAGCTCCACGTGCCCCAGAGCCTGCTCGGTGACATTGGCGGCCGTGTGACAGGTCTGCGTCGACATCCACTCGAAGTCCTTGATGGTGGCCTAAAGTACAAAGAGGTCCAAGGATGTTACTATTTAAATATTACTATCCATAAAGCTCACTGCTTTTATCTTGAAATTCACTTAAAATCATTGCAAAACCATTATTCCTCACTTTTTTGTGGATTTTTAAAAGTATCATGGAATGAAATTTTATTTCGAAGGCTTTCGAACATGTTTGTTTACTTGTGAGAAATATTTATGTGACTAATTCTTATACAATTTGTTTTCAAAATGTTGTAGTTTCTCATTCATTATTATTTCATTATTCGGTTTTTTCGGTAAAGCAGATAAGAAAGCTATTAGTCATTTTTCGATGTTAGTTTATTTAAAAAATATGTATATGAAATAAATATTTGTTAGGCAGTTGGTCATTGGAACTCAAACGAAATACAGTGTGATGGGACTCCTATATATTTTCCTTATAGGACATGTTTTTTGTGCCCTATTCATGGCAGTAGCCTCAACCACCGAAGATGATCTCTATCAGAACACCCCCTACATCACGGAACTGTTGCGACAGGCGAAGACTGCCGAGATTGAGAGTTTCATGGACCAAGAGGCCGATCCGTGCACCGATTTCTATACTTTTTCGTGTGGCAACTATGCTCGCATCAACCCAGCTTCAGTCTTGGGTGTGCCCTCGACTGAACTGTTCAAAACTCTCCAAAAGGGCCTCGAACGCAAGATCCTAAAGACGCTCCACATGGCAATGATACCCAGGACACTCCGGAAGATAACAGGTTAAACACTTCTTTGAATCCTGCCTTCGGATCAAGGAGCTCAGCTCCACCTACACCACAAAGATAAAGAACTTATAGCTGAATTTGGAACGATGCCGATCCTCGAGGGATCCTCCTGGAAGAGGAGGACTTCGACTGGCTGGAAACATCCGCTAACATTGCCCATAAATACGGAATAAGCTCATTCATTAATGTGAAAGTAAACAAAGACTTCGGCAATAACCAAAGGAACCGCATTTACATAGAACGCAAAGATTTCCGCTTAATACGCGTTCCATGTACGTGGACAATGCCACGGCAATCTACCGTCAGAATTATCGTATAAAATCCAACACAACTTGCAGCGATCATTGGGCGTGGAAATGAATTGGCAAAACAAACGGCTAGGGAGCTGCTCGACTTTGAGGGGACCTGGCACAAGGACTTCCTACTCCTGGACAAGGTCCTAAGATTTGCCCGAACTACTAACTGTTGCTGAAATGCAAAAGAAGTATTCCCCCACCTTGGACATCGATCAATTGATATTTATAAGTTTGGGAGAGAGAGTCTCTGACCGAATCTATGAGCTCGACAACGCTATCAAGAAAATTTATTCAAAGTTCTCAAGCGTACGCCCAACGCACTATAGCCAACTATATATTTTTTCGCCTTATCTGGGAATTCGTAGAGGCTCCTAACGAGAAGCCGAGAAGCAAGAAAAGTCTGCTTAAATCTCACCAAAAAATTTTTTTCAAGACCTGGACAACATGATCTACCGCCGTTACAAGACCGACAAATCCTCCAAAGAAAGAGAACACGTGGCGCCAATTATAGCAACCTTTATTGAAGTTCTGCGCTCCAGTTCATCACTGGATTGGGTCAGAGGACCACTCGGAATCTGGCCATCGCCAAGTTGGAGGCCATGACTCTCGAGATCAACCATTATGCCGATTATAACTTCCCGAAGAGTTTGCGAATCTTAATTTTCAAAAATCGACCTAGTTGAGAATGTGCGACAAATCGGAAGTCTTGTTCAAAACAAAAGCGAGAGATGCTCCACAAGCCGGACAAGCCCTTTGACGCGGGCTCCCAGTTGAGTTACAGCCCCACAGCTATCCTAATAGAAAACTCAATCAAGATTCCGGTCGCCCTGCTGCAACCCTTCTACATTTGGTCGGATGTCTACCCCAATGCGGTTATGTTCGGCACTTTGGCATCGCTAATTGGACATGAATTAATCCATGGATTCGACGACAGCGGAATAGGGTTTGATGCCAAAGGAAACGCAAACGATTGGTGGGACGAAAGGTCCAGTAACAATTCTTGAAACGCAGGGAATGCTTCACGAAGCAGTATGGAAGGTATGTGTACGATGGGATCCAGCTCAAGGAGTCCCTTTGCAATCGGAAAACATAGCGGATAATGGCGGAATCCGGCTGGCCTACACCGCCTACCAGAAGTGGTACAAGTCCCAAGTGGAGAAGGATCTGGCTAAGGAGACCCTGCCCAATTGAAGTACACCGCCAAGCAGTGTTCTTCATCAGCTTTGCTCAGATCTGGTGCAACGATGTAGATCCAAAAATGAAGGCCCTTCAAGTATCCGTCAATGACATATGCCGGGGAAGTTCCGAATTATTGGATCTCTATCGAACTTTGATGAGTTTTCTAAAGAGTTCAACTGCCCAGCCGGATCTGCCATGAATCCCAGCAAGAAGTGCATAATCTACTAGAAGGGTGATGCCCATTTCCCATTTAGGTATACCTTATTTAAAAGAAATCTCTATTACAATAAGATTTGTTTTGATTAAATAAAATAAAAACAAATATCAACTATCCTTATTAACTGCATACTTTTAGACCCATGGTATTTTTGACTTCAAAAAATTAGTCATATGTCGTTTTCGGTGTATCATTTAGAAAATGAATTGAAGTATATAGTTGTCGGGTCAATTGAGTAAGTTATATTGAAGTTATAGGAACAGATTGCAAGAACTGACCCTAACCACTTTTCTTTCTTTTCATTATAGCTAAAGAATTGTATTATATTATTTATATATAGCTATTAAACCCACCTTGTGCATGGAGTAGACCGCCACCACGACCAGTACGTGCATTATGTTGTGGGAGTTCAGATAGAAGTCCACCACTCCAGGGAACCACTTCTCTGGGATTCGCATCGCTCCGATGGCACCGCCCAGTATGGAACGCCGTCCTAGAACAGAGGGTTAAATAAAAGATTAGAAGATCTATTACGCAGTGGGATTTCGTGTGTAATGACCGCCAGTAAAATTGTGTAGCGGCTCTGTCCATTTACTCGAATGTACATATGTATGAAAATGTGACTTACAACTTCAACCTATGCGCACCGAGAGAGGCCAGCCAAAAACGTTTAGTTATAGAAAATAGCAGTTAGTCAATTGGAAAGCCTGGACATACGCACCTGCAGGTAGACATGGGAAAGGGCCATGTGGCTGCCGCCCACCATTCCACGGATGCGCAGGAAGGTCAGATGGAGCGCATTCCGAAGGGCAGGGCGAAGCACAAGCGACGCTGCCAGGGTGAGCTGGCAGTCAGAGCCTATTGGGGATTACAGGGATTATAGATATCATTAGAAGTTAAACTAGATCCAATCCTTACCTTATAGAGGCCCCACAGCGAGAGCACACAGTAGGAGACAATGATCAGCCACTTGAGCACGGGTGGGAAGCACAGAGTGGTGGCTGTCACCAGGGGAAGAGCACCTGAAACAAAAAAAAAAACGGAGAGCGGAAGAGACAGTTAGCACACTTAATCTGGCCACCGATAAGGCGGCTCCTCAGTCAGAAATCATAGCTCAAACACGATGGAGGGACATCTCACAGCTTCCGCTTGCCTAATCTTTCTAATCACCTTGGTTATCCAAGGTTCGTCGGGCGGCGTTTTCAAGGAGCTAACCACGCCACTGGGTCAACAGATCATGCGCATCGCCAAGTCGCGGAGATGCGCTCCTTTATGGACACCAATGTGAGTCCCTGTGATGATTTCTACACACACGCCTGTGGCAACTATGCAGTGATTAATGCAGCCACCGAGCAGAAGGATACCAGTATGGGCCAGCTCTGTTTGCCCACTACCTACGTCGGGTGAGGCAGCTGCTTAAGGAGCCCCGAATCAGCACAGATCGTCCAATGGAGGTGAGGGTTAAGTACTTCTATGAATCCTGCCTGAACACAACGGCCTTGCGGTTGAAACAGCGATCCCATCTACTGAGTGTCTTGAGGGAGTTCGGTGGCATGCCGGCTGTGCAGGGCGAGGATTGGAACCCTATCGAATTCGATCCTCTAGAATGATGGCCCAGCTACTGCGACGCTACGGCAAGAGGACTTTTCTGGGTGTCCAAGTGGCTTCGGATTTGCCAACTCCCAGATAAATCGCCTTTACCTGGGTCAGAGAGACGATCTGAGTAATAGCCGTTCGTTTATCAAGTATATGTTGTTTAAGCAGAGGCTGATGACTTCCTGGGTGTTCCGGAGGAGCGAGCTGAAGAAAGTGCTTCGGAGGCATATGATCTGGATTTGGAACTAGCCCGCTACGTTCCTGAACCCGGAACAGATCGTGATCCACGACTGAAGAATCACCTGACCATGTTGTCCAACATGAGCGATACCTACGGACCGATTCTCAACCTGACTCGCTTTGTGAACATCTGGTTGGGTCACGATTACAATCTGCCGGTGTACGAGTCAGTGCCCAATTACCTTATCCAGGTGAACAAGATCCTATTGGCCACTCCCAATCATGTGCTGGCCAACTATATGCTGTCCACTCTCCTAGACGACTTTGAGATCGATCAGGATGAGGGACGTCAGGAGGAGATCTGTGCGGAGAAGATCACTGATCTATTTCCCGATGTGGTGGATCAGATGGTGTACCATTCACTGCAGCAGCAAAGTCCCCATATAGCCAACGAGTTAAGGAGTCTTTGGGTGGAACTGAAGACTCCTTCCAGGAGATCCTGAGTTCGCCCGATCTCAAATGGCTGGAGGAACACACGCGTGAGGAGCTGCTGGAAAAGCTCAAGGTTATGTCCTTCGAGATAGCGGGCGATCAGGCGGTAAACTTCGAGGAACAGTATGGCGAACTGGTGGTCAGCTCCGCCGATTACTATGGCAATGTTCAGCGACTGTTGGAGGTACAGGGCAAGAATCTCCGTAGGGATCTGATGCGGGAGTCCAGGAGCACTAACTACTACTATGATGGCGTGATCGATTCTCCACTTTACGTGACGGAAAACAATCTGGTGGTGCTTCCTACCAGCTTTATGCAGCATCGCTATCTCTGGGACGACGTTTATCCGGCTGCCCTCAAGTACGGCACTCTGGGTTTCGTCCTTAGTCACGAGATTGCCCATGGATTCGACGATACGAGTCGACTCTTCGACAGCAAGGGAAACCTAAACGACACATGGAGCAGGCAGACCAAAATGAGCTTCGAATTGAATAAGAAATGCCTGGCAGAACAGTTTGGTAAGATGGAGTACGACGGCATAGCGTTGCCAAAGTGGGAATCGCAAGGTGAGAATATAGCAGACAATTTGGGTATTCGCATTGCTCAATCGGCATACAGCAAGTGGTTGGAGCAATTGAAGAGCCAGGATACGGAGACCTACCCCATATGTCCCAGTCGCCGAAGCAGCTCTTCTTCCTCGGATTGGCCCAGTCCATGTGCTCGGATATATGGGATGACAGACGATATTCGGTTGTCTACCACAGTGCCCATCCGCCGCATGAGTCCCGGGTGTTCGCCATGATGACTAGTTCCCCAGACTTCGCCGAGGCCTTCCAGTGTAGTAACACAACCCGGATGAATCCCTCACGCAAATGCAAAATGTATTGAGATTTCCCTTGTATCTCAGAGATTACGCCAAGAGCGTATATATATGTCTAATAAATGGTTCCGCTTCCAAGCAGCACTTGCTTTTCATTGGGGTTCAAACATAGACAATATACATAATCATCGCGATCGTACTCACCGAAGCTCTGGCTCACCCAGATGCCGACCATGTCCAACTTGAGCAGCGTGTAGTAGACGTTCTCGCCCTTCTCGATGTTCATGAACAGGTGGTAGACGAAGCTGCCGCACCAGGGAGCCACCGATCCGAAGACATGGCAGAAGGACAGAAATTGTAGCCACTATCCCAGGGCATCAGGCCGGGCACAATGGCCAGGATGTAGAAGATGGGTATGGCTGAAATAGTAAGGGTAATACGATTAAGTGGGAGAACTTTGGAATTATGACCTTAATGTAAAAATGTATAGTGGGGACTCATTAAAACTGAGAGAAGCTGATGAAAATAAATAATAACTAAGAGAACTAGAATTGAGATCGGCTTATCCAGATCAACAGAACTCTGTTTCGAGTATATAATTATACCCATTCAACAATGAGTATATTATAAGGTTGCTTGTTTTGTTTAGCTTGTTCAACCAGAAACGTAATTTTGTTTGACGGGTGTATAATTAAATACATCTACATTATGTACAATCGATGTTCTATAGATTAACGAATTCATAGTTATAACGAATATATATATAAACATGAAAGTGGTCAGGTTATAAGAGATTCCAAATCTTTATCGTAAACTGATATTTGTTTTTTAAAAGGGGTAGCTTAAACCCAAGGATATCCATTAGCCAGCCGAATATTAATCAATGAACAAAGATTAAATAGCACAAGTCAATTAAAAATTACAATAAAGCGGATTTGTTTGAAACTTTGAATTTTTATAAGAGTCAGGGGCAGAGATTGTATAAGAGCCGGTGTCTGGGGAGATAAGAGGTTGACCTACCCCAGCACTCTGGACATTGTATAAACAAAACCGGCTGATAAGGTGGCCGTCAACGATCGGGAGCAATTGAAAATTAGTTGAATTAAGCGCGAGATGATGGCGAGTTGGGTTTTGTGGCTCTGTCTTTTGTGGGTGTTAATGGTTCCCATTTTGGCCAAACCACCAGATGCAGAAAATCCTTTTGCCGACGACCTGACCTCGGAGTATGCCAAGAAAATCATAGTGCAAGCCAAAGTAGCAGATATTAAGATTATGATGAAGCGGAGGTAGCGCCGTGTGATGACTTCTACACCCATGCCTGTGGCAACTGGCATCGTCATAATCCCGCCCAGCTGCTAGGCAACCTGATGACCGACACGTTTCAACTTATATCGAAGGGATTCGACCGACGCCTCCAGCGTTTGCTGCGTTCCAACGACCTTCAATCTGAACTGGAGAAGAAAATGCAGCGTTTCTTTTTGTCCTGCAACCTGGTTCATCGCGATGATGTCCACTACAAGCTGGCTTGGAGAACGTCATCCGGGAGTACGGCGAACTTCCAGCCTTGGTTGGCCCCAATGGAACTCCTCGGACTTCAGTTGGTGGAGAACGGTTGCCGAAATCCAGCATAAATACGGAAAGCAGATCATCTTGGGCCTGAACGTTTTGCAGGATGTTCGAAATACATCAATAAACCGGGTATACTTAGGTCCACCAGAAGACAAGCCGAATAGCGTTGTCCTTTTAAATCTTCTCGAGGAAGCCAGCACCTCCAAGGATCTGCAGCATTACTTTGGACTAAGTCCCTCCGTAGCGAAACACACGGCTGAGCAGCTCCTTGAACTCGAGAGAGTCCTCAACTCCGGTGGCTCGAGCGGAGGATCTCTTGAAGATTCACTTTCCCTGTATTCTTTGGCCGATCTTGAAGAGAAGTACAGTGACCATCTTAACTTCACCGAGTTTCTAAGTTTGGTCCTCGGTAAGGAGAATATTCCGGAGCTCCTGTACATTAACGATGAGAAATATCTGGATAGTGCTCTCCGCACAATGCGCAGCACACCGCTAGCAACACAATCCAACTATATAATGTGGAAACTGGTTGAGGACTTCCTGTGGAGGCTAAGCCCGGCGAAATGGCCAAGTGGTGCACCGAAAAAACCAAGAGTTACTTTGGCAAGCTGGCCGAGCACGCGGTCTACCAGAGGTATCGCAATTTAACACAGAGGCGGAGGTTCATAAAATCTGGGGACAGATTAAGGGGATTTTTCGGCAGCATCTGATGGGTGACAAACTGGACTGGATATCGAATGCCACAAGGCAGTTGGCCGTTGAGAAGCTTGAACAAATGCAACTGAACATAATTCCTACGACTCGGAGAATTTCGAAGACCTCTTCGGTGAGGTGTCTATCGATCGACTTAACTACGTAACGAATGTCCAGCAGCTGGACATTGAAAGGGCCAAGAGATTGGTGGCAAGGATTAATGAGCCCCCTCGCTCCCTGGATGCAACTGATGTTCTTGGCTTCACTCCAGCGTACAGTATGCTGGAGAATAATATCACAATTCCTGTGGCCCTGTTGCAGCCACGTACCTCTGGGGTGACCAATATCCGGAGCGCTGAAGTACGCCACTCTGGGCTATCTCCTCGCCCACGAGATGCTCCACGGCTTTGACGATGATGGAATGAAGTATGATGCCACTGGTAGCCTGCTCCATGGTGGGACTCCAAATCGCGCTATGAGTTCGAGGAGCGGCGCAAGTGTTTCCAGGCCCAGTACCACCAGTACAAGTATGGAGGATCAGAGCTGCCGGAGACCAAGGTGCAGTCGGAGAATATAGCCGACAATGGAGGTCTCAAGTTGGCCTATGCCGCCTATAAGATCTGGCTGGGTCAGCAAACGGAGGAAGTGCGTCAACGAGAGACCATGGAGGGTCTGCCCTTCGACAATCGCCAGCTTTTCTTCCTTGGATTCGCCCAGTTGTGGTGCGACGATGTCCAGTCACTATTCAAGTCGAGGGTGGCCCAGTCCGATACCATGCACCCAGCAAGTACCGGGTGATCGGACCACTGTCCAATTTCCAGGAGTTCTCCTGGGTCTTTAACTGCTCCCAGTCGGCGACCATGGATCCGGAATACAAGTGTGCCATCTACTGAACGCAGGAATTTATTCATTGTTAGTTTGTTTTGAATGAGTTTAATCCCAATAATAAAATTTATTAGCTAAACCATAGTTTGATTTTGTTCATCTATAAGCATATTCTTTCTTCTAGGAGTTTTATAAGAATATTATGGATTTTGATATAATTTTCTGGCATATATACACAAATACATCAACAAATTACTATGGAATAAGTGTGTGAATAAATTCAACAAAAAGCTTTTACAAGCATTCAGTCTCCACCAAAAATAGCCCCATAAAACTTGCTTCAAAAAAATATCATAGCAAGCTAGAAAAAAGAAGCGTTTTAATTTATGTATTAAATAATATTTAGGTTGCCATGAGTTTTTAAAATAATTCCAGGCAGCTAGTCAAAAATTAAGCAAGTGTCATAAGCCCTCTCCATGAGAACACAGTCTCCTGATAAAGAATGTTTTGTTTTTTCATGATTGAAATAAATGAAAATACCCCTTATCTCTGCACCATTGCCATTGAAAAAGGGGTATTCAAAGACTATAATATTTCCCAATATTTCATTGATTATATTTATTATTTTAGTATTTAATTCATAAGGGTAAAGTGGGGTTCTTAGTCCAGGTTAACGGCGAAGAGTTGACACTTCTGTGGAGTGGTCATCCTGCTCCCGCTGCCGCAGTTGAAGTCCCTCTTAAAAGCTCTAAGTTGGACAGTGCTCCTAGCACCCGGAGAGCATTGGGAGTTCGTACTGGAGTAGGGATTGCTTATCCCGGAAAACATCGTTGGCATCATTGCAATACAGTTGACTGAAGCTGAGAAAGAACAGTCTCCTTGAGCTGAGGTTTAGGTGTGGCAGTGATTCGGAGCCCAAGAAAGATGGCTCAACTCCCCCAGAAATCTTCTGTAGGCATGGTAGGCCACCTGTATCGCCAGATTATCGGCTATATTCTCCGCCTGCAGATCGCTCTGCGGCAAATAATGTCCATTGAGACGCAGCCGTCCATATTGTTCCCTGAAGCAGGCCTTCCGCTTGGCATACTCGGCAATGGATTTGTCATCCCACTTGGAGGCGTCTTCCAGGCTGTGGGCCAATTCGTGGGCCAGCAGGGTCCCAGACTACCATAACGAACGGCTCTCGGATAATATCGGGACCACAGGAAGTTCGGCTGGAGCAGGGGCACCGGCAGCAGGACTCTTTTCCCAAAAGGATCATAGGAGGCTGAGGTCTGTGTCTTCAACTTGATACTAAATCTCTGATGGTTGAACATGATCCTCAGTTGTGAAGATAATCCTTGGCTTGAGTTGTAGATCCCCATACCGCTGGGTGAAGTTAACATCAGCATATCCATTGATCACCAGACTGGTGGTATTCAGCTGCTCCAGGAGTTGTTCCCGAGTCTCCAGAACCAACCAGTCGGCTGTAGAGTTTTCTAATACACCTCGAAAACTTAGCTGAATCTGCTGCCAGAGGCCCTCTATATCACTCAGGGTATCTGCACTTCCATACTGCTTAAATACCATGTTGTCCAGGAGCTCGGGAAAAAGGTCTCTGACCCGGCTTACACACTGCTCAACTGGGGATCCCGTTCTCTCATAGTAAAAGTGCTTCAGGAGCTCGTTGAAGATGTAGTTGGCCAGGACGTCGGGATTTGTTGAGTTTATAACGTCAACTAAATCAGACAGATATTTGGAACATGTTCATAGAGAGTCTCATTGGTTTCCAGTTCCCGGTCGAGAACAGTTTCCACATATTGGGTGATATTAACGATATCATCGTAGGACGTTTCATTTGTATTTGGAGTGTGTATTTGGACATCACACCAACTCTGCGATTACCATAATCCTGGCAATCATTTGTTCAAGTCTGTGATTTCCCTGGCCGTTGTCTTGGCCAGCTCCGGCTCCACGCCCAAGTGCCGCTCCAAATGGTAAGCTGTCCCATCAGCCACATCCTGTCTTTGGGCTCCGGTAGAATCTGCTTGGGCTGACCCACGTAGATGCGATTCCCAGACAACTGGAAAGCAGAAGAATATCAAAGCCGTACTTTGTTTGATCCTGGCCACGGTGTCTTGCCAATCGAACTCCTCGGCTGGCCAATCCTGTCCAGGAAGACTCAAGGCAGGCATGCGTCCAAATTCCGCCACAATTTCTTGGAGACCTTGGCGATATAGATCCTCTGGAGCTTGCGGTAGAGAAGGCAACTGGTGTACAGCTCTTTAAGGCGGAGCACTGCCACCTCATCCGTTTCCTCATCCGCCGGCTGCTCCATCAATCTCTGTTGCTTGTGGCGATAGCCTTGACCAGCAACTGCTCCAAGTTAGTCTCCCTGGGATAGGCTTTGATGGCCGGATTGATCTGTGGCCAATTTCCGCAGCTGTAGTCGTAAAAATTGTCGCAGGCCTCCACACCCGTTTGCATATAGCTGCGCATCTCGGCGGACTTGGAAAGCCTCATCAACCGCTGGACATAGAGGCTATCATTGTTCTGCGAGATCAGCTGCTCCTGGGCCTGGATGCGCAGGTCAATGGTCGGCTGACCGGGCAGCAGGTACCTCGACCACCCCCACCAGCTGGAGCAGTAGGAGTAGTAGTAAAGTCGATGCGATGCCAAAGTTCTCCATGGCGAACACTACGAACGCGACTGAACGGGCAACTCAACGAGACGCACTTCCGTACCCACTCTCTGCCATGAGATTGAGATTAAGACACACTGTGGAAAACTCACCTTATATGATAAAATTTTTGTAAAAATTATAAGTTGAAATTTGAATCAGGCTTCAAATGATTTGCACAATCTTAAAACTCATAAACTATATAAGAAGGAATGGAAAATATAGAATTTTCTCAATAATTATAATATTTCGTTATATTTAAATCAACTGCTGGTGTATATATATAATATTATATATAGATTAGCTTCAAGTTTATTTGTAAAATAATAAGTTTGTTCCCAAAAGATAATTAAAAATGTTGGGACTGTAAAAATTTATAAATTCATAGTCGAGTGTAAGGCAGAGTAGAAGCGGAGGCAGAGCTCTACCTTATCATCCGTTCGCTCGTAGGTTCCACAACCATACCCCAAGTTAGAGGGGAGTGCGTGATTAAAATACTGGTCACGTTATAGTTCGATATCTGAAGGAATGCTTACAATGCTAGTAATTAGTATTGACGAATTAATGGCTTTATTGGCATGCTATTTAATTGCCGAGAGGCCAAGTAATAAATACCGTATCATCAGACTATAAGATTGAGATTTATTTAATAATTTTATTACGCTTTTTTTTTAGGTTTATTTATTTATTTGTTCTAGTACTTTTCAACATTTATTGGTTTATAACGATTTTCTGTCACCACTATGTTGAGAGTCTCGATAAGCCCGATCTGGCCAATGGTTTTTCGGCAACATATGAATGATTGTTAGTCCAATTTTTAAAACGAAACAAACAGAACAGATTGCGATTTCTTCGGCATTCACCCAGGATACACCCTACATCTGGGAGCTTCTAAGACAGGCGAAGACTGCCGAGATTGAAAGCTTCATGGACCAAAAGGCCGATCCGTGCCAAGACTTCTATTCTTTTTCGTGTGGCAACTATGCTCGAATCAACTCCGCTTCGAGCATGCAGGTGTTAACGACAGGAATATTCGAAACTCTGAACAACGGCCTCAACCGAAAGGTCCTTAAGATGCTCAATACTTATGATACCAACGATACTCCGGAGGATATTCAGGTGAAGCACTTCTACGAGTCCTGCCTGCGGATAAAGGAGCTCAACTCCACATACACCGAAAAGCTGAAGCGACTTATTGCCGAGTTCGGAACGATGCCGGTGCTGAGGGATCCTCCTGGCAGGAGGAGGACTTCGACTGGCTGGGGACCATCGCACGCATTGCCTATCAATATGGAAAAACAATCATCATAGGTGCGGAAGTATTTAAAGACATTGCCAGCAACCAAAGGAATCGAATCTACGTAGGAGAGCAGGACTTCCTGATTGAGGAGCGATCCATGTATCTGAACAACGAAACACTTATCTATCGCACGAAGTACCTTAATGTTATCCAAAATATATTACAGCGATTTTTAACCGTCGAGGAGGTGCTCGCAAAGCAAACGGCTAAGAGCTTTTAGACTTTGAGGTGGACCTGGCCCGAGGACTTTCTTCTCCAGACCAAGGAATTAATGAATTGGCTGAACTACTAAGCGTCGCTGAATTGCATAACAGGTATTCCCCAACCATAGACATTAAGAGATTGTTAAATGTGAGCATGGGAGAGCCAATTTTGGAAGAATCTACGAGTTCAACAAACTCTATCAGCAAAATCTGGTTAAAGTCATCGGGCGTACGCCCAAGCGCACCGTAGCCAACTATATATTCTTCCGCCTTATCTGGCAATTTGTTGAGTCGCCTTCCGACAAGCCGGAGAAGCAGAAACTGGCCTGTATTGATATCACCACTAAGTTCTTCGCCAAGAATCTGGACAACATGTTCTATCGCCGCTACAATAACGAGAAAACCTCCAGAGAAATCGAGAATATGTGGCGTCAGCTAAAGTCAACCTTTAAGGAAACTCTGCGATCCAGTCAAGCTCTGGATTGGATTGACAGACCCACACGGAAACTGGCTATTGCTAAGCTTCAGGCCATGACCATGAAGGTGAACAACTATGCCGAGGATAACGTCACCGAAGAGTTTGCAGATCTCAATCTGCAGAGCTCCGACTACGTGGAGAATGTGCGACAGAAAGACTTCTTGGAGCCAAACAAATGCGCGAGATGCTTCACAAACCAGCAAAACCATTTGATTTTGGCTCCAAGCTTAGTTACTCTCCAGCCAACATCCTGATAGAAATATCATCAAGGTTCCGGTGCCCTGCTCAACCCTTCTACATTTGGTCGGATGTCTACCCCAATGCGTTATGTTTGGTACTTTGGCATCCTAATTGGACATGATTAATCCATGGATTCGACGACAGCGGAAGAAGTTTGATGGCAAGGAAACTCAAATGATTGGTGGGACAAATATCCAGTAACAACTTCTTGCAACGCAGGGAATGCTTCACGAAGCAGTATGGAAGGTATGTGTACGATGGGATCCAGCTCAAGGAGTCCACTTCGCAGTCGGAGAACATTGCGGATAATGGAGGAATGCGGCTGGCCTACACCGCCTACCAGAAGTGGTACGAGTCCCAAACGAAGAAGGATCTGGCCAAGGAGACTCTGCCCAATCTGAGATACACCGCCAAGCAGTTGTTCTTCATCAGCTTTGCTCAGATCTGGTGCAACGATGTACATCCAAAAGTGAAGGCCCTTCAAGTATCCGTCGATCAGCATATGCCGGGAAAGTTCCGAATTATTGGACCTCTATCGAACTTTGATGAGTTTTCCAAGGAGTTCAACTGCCCATCCGGATCCCCCATGAATCCCAGAGAGAAGTGCGTACTGTACTAGACAGGTTTCTTTATCCAATCCTTTTAAGGACTATACCAATTTTATAACTGCTTTAGCAGACTCAAATACTCATTCAAATTGGTAATAACATCTATCTAATAAACATCACCAAAAATTCACTTGCGTATAGATAATATGAAATATGATTATGCGACAATCCATTATATATATTCGGACTAAAATCTAGATGAAAAAACGTTATACTTTAAGACCTCGTTTGATAATAAAAATAACTTTTATAGTACCTAAACTTTTTGTATAATTAAAAGCGGTCGTTTAGCATTATCTATTGTGGGGATTATTATGCCAGTTACTCAATTGTGCTTCGGGTTTTGTACGAGTTGTTTTAATAGGCACTTTGCAACTGGAAGTCATGGCAGAATAATCAACTACCTTGACTTTAATGACTTCATTCATTCACGTGAGTGAAAAAATATAGATTTTTGCTAACAGAACCTTTATACTAGTTAGCATAACAGCCAACAGTTTCTCGATCACGTTTCTGGGAATTACTTCTAACTCTTAGAATATTAAATCTATCAGCGAATTGATATAGAAAAAAAAACAGAAGATAATATAATAATGGGAAAGCAATTTGCAATCAGCAGTGAGCAATTGAACCTCAGTGTTTTTAGCGGAGCGGTGGATCCGAGAGCCAGCGATAACCCCAGGGTCGTCTTTTGTTTTCCGAGAACAGAGGAGCGGCCGCGCTGTGATGGGATGGCGATGAACTCATCAGATCAACTGAGGCTCGACAGTCGATCGGTGGAATTTCATCGGAGTACATCGCGATGCATTTGCTCTATATTTGCATTTTGGTAACATCCTATGTGCCCTGACCCTAGCAGCCCCCACCAGCGAGGATGATCTCAACCAGGATACCCCGTACATCAAGGAGCTGCTGCGGCAGGCCAAGGCTGCGGAGATTGAGAGCTTCATGGACCAAAGGGCGGATCCGTGCAGTGACTTCTACGTCTTCTCCTGTGGCAACTATGAGCGCATTAACTCGGCTTTGAGCATGCAGGTGGTCACGACGGGAGTTTTCGAGACCCTGACCAACGGCCTCAACCGGAAGATACTGAAGATGCTCAACGCGGGTCATGATAGCCACGACACCCCGGAGGATGTTCAGGTTAAGCACTTCTACGAGTCCTGCCTGCGGATCAAGGAGCTCAACACCACTTACAGCCAAAAGTTGAAGCAACTGATAGCCGAATTGGGACGATGCCGGTGCTCGAGGGATCCTCCTGGAAGGAGGAGGACTTCGACTGGCTTGGAACCACCGCTCGCATGGCCTACCGGTATGGAATAACTCCGGTTCTTGGTATAGAGGTGAACAAGGACCTGGCCAGCAACCAACGAAACCGGATTTACCTGGGCCAGCAGGACTTTCCGCTCGAGGCGCGTTCCATGTACGTGGACAATTCAACGGCCACCTACCGTCAGAAGTATCGTGCTAATATCCAGCGCACCCTGCAGCGATCTTTGGGAGTGAAAGTGGATCTGGCAAGAAAACGGCTAAGGAGCTGATCGACTTCGAGGTGGATCTGGCCCAAGGATTGGTGGACGAGAGCGAAGGCCTGGACCTGAGTGAACTGACTGAGCTGCTGACCGTGGACGAGGTCCACCAGCGGTACTCCCCCACCTTGGACATCAAGCGAGTGTTAAGTGTGAGCATGGGAGAGCCAATTACCGAACAGATCTACGAGTACAACAAACGCTATCAGCAAAATCTGGTTGAAGTCATGAAGCGTACGCCCAAGCGCACCGTAGCCAACTACATATTCTTCCGCCTTATCTGGGAATTCGTTGAGACGCCCTCCGACAAGCCGGCGAAACAGAAACAGGCCTGTGTGGATCTCACCAAGAAGTTCTTCGCCAAGAACCTGGAAACATGTTCTATCGCCGCTACAATAATGAGAAATCCTCTAGAGAAATCGATAACATGTGGCGTCAATTAAAGTCTACTTTTAACGAGACTTTGCGGTCTAGTTCAGCACTGGATTGGATCGAGAGACCCACTCGGAATCTGGCTATTGCTAAGCTACAGGCCATGACTCTGGAGGTAAACAACTATGCCGAGGATAACTTCACCGAAGAGTTCGCGGATCTCAATCTGCAGAGCTCTGACTACGTGGAGAATGTGCGACAGACGAGTCTTCTTGGAGCCAAACAAATGCGCGAGATGCTTCACAAACCAGCAAAACCATTTGAGGCGGGCTCCCAGCTCAGTTACACTCCAGCCAACATCCTTATAGAGAACACCATCAAGGTTCCGGTGGCCCTACTCCAACCCTTCTACATTTGGTCGGATGTCTACCCCAATGCGGTTATGTTCGGCACCTTGGCCTCGCTAATTGGCCATGAGTTAATCCATGGGTTCGACGACAGCGGAAGAAAGTTCGATGCCAAAGGAAACTCCAACGATTGGTGGGACGAAAGGTCCAGTAATAACTTCCTGAAACGCCGGGAATGCTTTACGAAGCAGTATGGAAGGTATGTGTACGATGGGATCCAGCTCAAGGAGTCCACTTCGCAGTCGGAGAACATTGCGGATAATGGAGGAATGCGGCTGGCCTACACCGCCTACCGGAAATGGTACGAGTCCCAAACGGAGAAGGATCTGGCCAAGGAGACCCTGCCCAACTTGCGATATAACGCCAAACAGCTTTTTTCATCAGCTTTGCTCAGATCTGGTGCAACGATGCACATCCAAGTGTGAAGGCCCTTCAAGTTTCAACGGATCAGCACATGCCAGGAAAGTTCCGCGTTATTGGATCTCTATCGAACTTTGATGAGTTTTCTAAAGAGTTTAACTGTCCATCTGGATCCGCGATGAATCCCTCGGAGAAGTGCTTGCTCTATTAACTGGGTGAAGCCAGAATCTCTTTTTAAACTTGAACTTCATTTTTTTGATACAAATTAGTTTTATAATTGTTTTGATATCATTAAATAAAGTTTTGACATGTTTTTTAAATGTTTTGGTAACTATTTTTATATACTTGAGCATGTTTATTCACAAAATCTTATATATATTTGTGGAAAGTAATTAATGACTTTGAAATTCTATCTAATTTTGATTTCGTGCCATAAATAATTAAAACGAATCAATGGTTCTTTGGACACAACATACGTAGGTGGTGTTTAAAGGACCTTAATTTGGCGTCAGAATATTTAATCCGAAAGCTATTTGGTATTTGTCCAGAAATAAATGTATAAAAAACCTCAAAATAATAGTTGAAACTATTGGAAATCGTCAAGAAATACCCATATTCCGTTTGGGGGTGAATGCTATCTATAGTTGGCCACTTTCTTATGCACGACCGAGCCAACCTCAGTCAAGGTTCATTAGAAATGCCGACCTAATCTATTTACGTGTGCCTCCACTTGGCTTTGACCGTGATTGTTACGAGCAGCGAGACGCGGATGGATCGATAAGTGAGCCAGCGATGGTGACAGGTGGGCGGAAGAGGAAGAGGACGAGGATGAGGAAGTGGCAGCGGAACAGAGGAGCAGGTGGCACTCACCATGAGTCAGTATGTTGATGGTCTCGTTGTGCCAGTAGAACAGACTGAGCAGGCAGCCCTTGAAGGTCTGCAGGGGTCTATATCCGCGGAGCACGTAGGGATTGAACTGCAGATACGTGGGCATATCCTGCCAGGGCAGCAGCTGGACCACATTCTCTTCAGAACCGGATGCGGACTACTGCTGCTGCTGCTGGGCACTGGAGAAACTGCCGCTGGTGGATGATCCGTTGCCGGGAGTACTAAAGCAGATACCGATCCAGATCCTGATACCGATCCCAGCAAGGCTGACGTTGGCTTTGTGGAAGCTTTGGCGGAAGACGTTGATGATGTGGCGGGCAAATCCGACTGAGTGGGTTCAGTAGAAGCTGTTGCTGTTGTTTCGGCAGGCTCTTTGGCCTTCAGGCCGTTCAAGGGATGGGTCTCGATCTGGCCATTTGGTGGAGCACTTGGAACACCTGGTTCGATGTGGTTATCAGAGGCTCGCGAAGGCGGCGTGGGTGGCGGCGTCAGCGACATGGTCTCCACAGTGCTGCCCAGACAGTCGCATCCAGTGCTTCCTCCTCCGCCGATCCTTGACTTTGTGGAGCTGGAGCTGGAGCTGCCGAGGAGCTGCTGATCGGGTTTCAGGTCAACGGCGACTGCAGCGGCGGCGGCGGCAGCGGTGTCCATGCCTGGCTAATGCCTTCGATCGTTTCGGTTAATCGTTGTTCCACTTCCGGTTCCCGTTCGGTGCCGTTTTCGTTTCCGTTTCCGGTTGCCTAGCTTCCCTAGCTTTCCTCGCTAGCCAGCTGAAAGCGAAAGCCAACGTCATGAATTATGGATCGTCTTTATGCGGCGGGCCAAAATGCGATGTGTTACGTATGTGCTGGCCAAAAAAAGCACGTGCGAAAGCGAAAAGGAAACGGAAAATGAAAACGAGACCAGGACAATGTCAACACACACAAATACACACACACACTCGCACAGCAGCCTCGTGACCCAAAAAGGCCTGCGCCATTTGCCGAAGTGTGGGTCCTGTGTGAGTCTGTGTGTGTGTGTGTAATTGAATATTCCATGCGAATCACGCGAGTCTCGGATTAGGCCACAAATACCAGCTCCCGGGCCCGGGAAAAAATCAATAAAAATACTCACTTCTGCCATGGGACGCGCACGAGATTTTTGGATACCGAATCCTCCTTTAAGGACCAAGGATTTTCTCGGGACGCGGGCTAGAATCCTGGAGCGATGCTATGATGAGCAGTGTTCTCCACTCGGTTTGCTCCTGTTACGTGGGCGGGGCATAATATTAATTCCATCAATTATTTAGCCATTTGATAGGCCATTGTTGGGGGGTCTGCTTTTTGGCGGATAAAATGATGGTTATCCGCAGATAGTTGGACTTTTTCTTCAGCCACAAAACGCGGGAAGCAGCGACGGGGGGCGATCCGCGCACACACGACCGTTGGGGCAGGCACGTCAATTTCTGACTGAGCGTGGGCACACGATAACGATACCGTTATTTTCCCTCGCGTATTGTTATGCAATTGAATGAATTGGAACCCGTATTTTTATTGGGCGCCAAAGCAGCGCAGGCGCAGTGAAAAACAAGAGGCACGCAGCTGTTCTGCGAGCTGTTACCCGGAGATATTCAAAGTGGTTGGGAAAATATAGTTAATCGCATTTAAATTTGAATTTCACGCTTGTCTTTTGACATTTTAAATTCAAACTAACAAGCTTAACTGCCTTAACCGTTTCAACTAGGTGGCATCCCTTTTTAAAGAAGTGCAAATACTTTTGATGACTTCTCAGTCAATAAGTAGCTTCCTAGCAAGGGTATTAAGATTGCCGGATTTTCCTCAACTAATACAGTTAAGAAATTTTGTTATTTTTGAATATTGTTGGCCTTCATTAAATTTAAATTTTTAGCGCCAAAATTAACTTAACCGTTTCAGCTAGGTGGCATCCCTGTTTCATTGTGTGACCATGTCAATTGCCTCTAAAAATACCCGAAAGAGTGATTGTGCCTGCAGCCACGAAAAATACCAAAAGAAATCTAAACTGGGAAGCAATTCTCTTTCAGCACAACTGGCCACACTGTAAGATATAGCTAAAAAAAAATTCAATTTAATCCGTTGCATTTTCCCGCGTATTAATTGCATTAGCTGCATTGCAGGCTTCCCAAAAAAGCAGCCAAGCCAAATGGCCAACGCCATGCGGTAGAAAGACAGCCGTGTAGCTGCTGCAGATGGGAAAAACGCAGCAAGCGTAAAAAGGCGCCAAAAAGTGACGGGAGGTGAAAACAAACAGAAACCATACGAAACTCGCATGCACAGCTATCAACAAGAGGACGAAATCCATGCTTCTGCCCTCGATTAAGGACAAACTCATGCAAAACGGCGGCGTGCAGCAAGCGAAAGCGAATTTCTCCTGGCAATCGCTAACGCAACTTTTAAGCGGCTTGTGGCAGCGCTTGTATTTGCCCCGTTCTCCGTATTTGGCCCTGCCAGCGCCGCCCCTGGCCACGCCCCCCGTGACTATTGCGCAGCGGAACGCCACGAAGAGGTAAGTCAGCTGAAAATCCAAAACAAGATATGAAAATGCTCAGGCGAAGATAGCGGGAAAACGAAATGAAAACAAGATATCCGAAAATGCTACCTGTCCATGGGATTTCGATGCTTCCATACAGGCGCAGACGTGAGCGTGCGTGTAAACAGCTGACTAGCGGCACGCCGCGTGGCCAGGGTTGTCGCCTTTCGTGCTTGTACAATTGCCACAAAATAAATAGTTGGATATATTTAAACCACTTTTAGTGGTTTAATTACATTAAAATAAAAATATCTAGAGTTGTTGGCTCCACCAGCCAAATTAAATATTAGTTTGTTAATTAGTGCTCATTTAAATATCACTTAAAGGAAAACGAAATTCATAGTATTTTTATTATAATTGTTGCAAATCCTTTAATAGTTGCTACGTTTTGCAATCCCAAATTTGATTATTTTTATAAAAATATTACAATAGATTTGTGTTAAAATTAGCTTTAATTTTAATGTTTGAAATGGTACACATCGTATTTATATTGCAATATAAATTAAGTACTGAAATGTACATTTGTACAATACGCTCGTGTTGTACTGCTGCCGCGTGCTCGGCAACCCCTTTCTGCCAGCGTTTTTTAACACAAGCCGGCGAGAATTTACCCAACACTGGCTCACAGACGTGGTGAATAAAATACCAAGTGACGTGAATTGTGGGAAAAAAACACGATTTTCAACGCAAACGCACATTATTATTTGGAGTGTGCAAAAAGGCAGGAAGTGTTTACCACGCCAAGTAAACGTCAGGACTTGCAGGACAACGGATTGCAAAAGCAAATTGGCAGCGGCAGCTGCACGAATTGCGCGACAACAACACAACGGCAGCGACAGCGACGCTTTGGCCAAGCAGCAGCAGCAGCAACAACAATACCAAAGCAAAGCCAGCGGAGCGCATACAACAAAAATCAATTTTCGCGCTCGTGAAAAAAATCAGCAGCAAATTGCAAGGTAGATGGGCTAATGGTTGGCTAATTAAAATGCGAAAGTTAGTTTTGGTTTTTGTTTTGTCTCTTTTTAATTATTATTTGTGGTCTGTTTTTCCATTGCACCAATACAAAGGTGAGGTATTGCAATTTGGTTAGGCGCCCGCGTGTGTGAGCTTATGTGTGTGTGTGCGTGCCAGCTGTATTCCGTACTGTACTCACCTCTTTGGTGGGAACAGCTGAAAGGGGGAGGAGGAGGGGCGGCGGTGGGCGATTGAGGGGCTGTTCCCAGTGCTCACACCACACGTTGCCTTACAGTTCATATGTACATATATGTCCATATATTATATATGTGTAACATTCTAGTATATCTTATAGGTGTCCCATTGGTTCGGCTATCATCAATCCCACTGATATTGTGTGTATACCACTTTTTCAGATGCCCAGAACACGGCGACTCCACCACTCAAGGGATCGCTCCTCGGCGGGCACACGAGACAAGCGCCGACGACTCGATACTGCCGATCATTCGCCACCCCTAGCTGAGGCCCCATCGCCGTAAGTTCGCCCATAATATGTGCAAATATTCTCCCATATTCGATCCCATATTCTCGGGCTGCTCTTCTTCGAGCTGCACGAGGGATTGCGATTACTCACTACCCAATACCCACTGCCCACTGCCCATTGGTACTCATTGTTTCCATTATTTGACTACAGGCCGCGCATCACCAACACACATCACACCAGATCGGCGGCCAAGCGAAGGCGACACGAACTCGATGCCAAGAAGGCCCAGATATCCAAGGAGCCCACGTAAGTAATTCGGATGGGTCGTAAATTTGGCAGTCCCTAGTCAAGGAGGGCAATTTGAGATAATCGATTCCATGTGACAATGATTTCTCAGTGCCAGAACGTCCCTTAAGGCAATATGCTAGCCTATTGGTAAACACTTCACAAAGTATTGATTTAAATTGGGCAGGAACGTCTCTATTTTAACCCTTTAGAAACCATTTCATACAGGGAATATATCACATGGTATTTTGCGAAACACTCTACATGTCGCAATGTCATTTGCTGGCGTTCATTTTAAAACTGCCAAACATTTTTGTAATTGTATGTTGTGTAATAATAATGATTTTGTAACCGTATCAAATCTTTTTTGCATGAAATTTCGTAATTAGTCTCTCAGTCGCAGAAATCAATTCCATGCGAAAGTAAAATTCGGCTAGTCCAAAGAAAGTTATTTTCAGACCATTACAAATTTTAAATTGTACGCATTTAAATAGAAAAAGACATGAAAGGGGAACCAAACAGCTTAAAGTAGGGACTTTGAAATTGTTATCTAGAGAATAAAATCTTGATAAAAATATGCTAAGGCTAATGATCTTTAAGAAAGTCTGAATATATGTATTCACACGTTTCTTTTAAATAGGAAGTATATTTTACCTGAGTGGCAAATAGAGGAAGGAGCCATGACATCACATCTTTCTCCACAAAATACCCAGCTTCGTGTGAATGAACAAACTTCCCCATGGGAAACCTTTCGAAAAACAGACTCGAGTCTTGTCCATGTAAACTGGCTCTGCCTACTGATCCACGGGTATTTCCCCAGCTGTCGGAGATGTTGGCAGCCAGAGTGTCCTGCCCACGCAGCTACGTATGTAGCTGCACTCCTCGGGACTCGCTTTCTTTGAATGGCTTGTAAACGGTCGTGTCTTTAATGGTCCATGGCCCATAAAGAAGTGCCGCTCGAGCGGCAGGAGCAGCCGGAGAGACAAATTGACATTCGGCCATATATGGGCAGGTGAAATCTGCGCTGGTTCCTGCCAAGTGAAGAGTCATCCTCTTCAGTCGGCTTACTGTAAATTAATGCGGACTCAGCGATTTCTTTGTGCTGACCCCTTCGGGGGCCGGTGGACGTAGGCGGTGGATCTCGGTGATCCTGGCGGGTTGTCCCGCTGCATTTCCTTGCCTTAATTTATGCGCCTGCGTATTTAAAGCGTATTTGCATATTACTCAAAACAACGGATAACTCGAGGCGCGACGTTGTCGCATTTATTATTGTTTAATACACTTGGCTTGGCCTTTTTAGGTAGTTGCAGCAACAGCAACAGCAGCAAGAGCATCTTGGGGAGTTGGCTTAATCAGAGTCGCATTTTGTAATTTATACGACACTAGCAGCGACCGCTTTCTTTGTCGATAAAGTGACGTTTTCATGCCCGCCACTGGGGTGCGTTCATTGTTTATTAACCTTTTGCATTCGCCATAAAACACGTTGGCTAAGTGTTCATGAACCACAGCAGCACAACAGCAGATTAATCGACCTGTCCCGGCTCATTACTCAAAAGTTGGTGACATCTTGCAACGCGGAAGTGTGCCGAAAAAAGCGCAGCCCAAATATGAAAATCAAGCGTAACGATAAGGAATACTATTCTTAAATGTATATTGCTCGCATTTCCGCTGTCCTCTTGTTTTATTATCGATCATATGGGTTGATTATTTTCAATTTCAATCATTTTTTATTTAAATTACAAGCCATCAATTGGATGCACGCATGGTGCGGCGAATTCGCTGGCTCGATTTCGATTCCGACGATCTGTAAACTGGAAATGCGAGCAGCGAAGTCAAGCGGTAGAGGCGGCAGAGGCAGAGGCGGCAGAGCTGAGGCAGCGGCGGTACAACCGACACTTGTTCGCTACCAACTTGTCGCTCGATTGCTCAGTCGCAACGACAACTCGAAAGCGAATGGAGGTGCTGGCTTCTTCGCTCGTCGCCGTCGCCGCCGTGCAACCGCTATTACCCAGTGTTTTTTAAAAGAAATGTACGAAACCATTCATATATTGTTTATAATTTGTTAACAAATGCATTGTGTGGCTCTGAGCCGCGTGTGATTTGTGTGCGATTCCCGCGACTTGTTTATGCATCCTGGCCAAAAATAATAATTCGCCTGCGGAATTTCAATTCGATTCGATAACACCTCCTCAATTATTCCGAGAAGTTTCAATGCTGTGCATTCTGTGTGCTCTATAGCGCTTTAAAGAACAGGGGAAAATCACTGGCCAATGGGGGACAAACCTTAGCCAACACGGGTTAACTAAACCAAGATAAGATAGCTCCCGACTATGACGACTACGACGCCTACTACTTATCAAAGACGGGGTGAACTGACGGGTGACTTGTAGGAACCGGACGTGCCGATTGTTGTTTTTATTGGCCAAGGGATTTTGCACTTATTTCCGATAATATTACTCATAGCGCGTCACAACAAGTTGGATCTTTTCAGCTGCGGCTGCGGCTGCTGTTGACCCGTTTGGCCGTTTGGGAGCCCCAAGACTTGCGTTTCCTTTTCGAATCAGGTTAAAAAAGTAAAAATTGTGAAAACTGGTCGGAGGAGGACCTGTTCGCGGCCGGGTCTTTGAGCTCAGCGCATGCGCAGACACTTTCTACCAACTACCAATGTATTTTCCTCGCTCTGCGAATTGCATAAAGCCTCCTCAACTGGTTGGCGTTTTGGGGGTCTTATCAATGAACTTGCCATCCGGCTTGCCAGTGGCATCCAGCCGGTAACTGGAGGCCAATTGGATTTGCCTGCCATAGGCTAAATCGCAGTCAAGGTTCAGGGTTATTGTAGCAGCTAATTCAATTGTGGCCCTCGCCGTGCTGACAGGCCAAAAGTGGCTAAAACAAAAGCAAAATAGGGCCAGCAAGAAGTCGCACAAATGCAGAGGGTTTTTGTGGGCAATGGGTGATGGGTGGCCAACTCATAAGCCATTGAGAACGTGTTAATTACACGCGTTTCAACCAGCCCAATAGACAAAAGAAAACAAGTGTGTGTTCGATAAATTATTGAAATGAAAGGCAAAGGCTGGGCCAAGGTATTTCCACGGAATCTGGCCGACTGGGCGCTGTAGATTATATAGTAGTAGTCCGCTCGCGACAGGCCAAGTGTGTGCACAGCATTGAAAATTAAGGCAATAAAATTCTTAAATTCTCAAGCAGCCAGCGATATACAAATGATAACGATAAAGCTAAAGATAAGAGATCTTCAAAGTGCACGCGTTTAAAGTAAACGTTCAGCGGTTTAAATTTCAACGCCAATTCTAAACAAGATCACAAGCAGCAACAAAAAAAAACATAAAACAACATTGCCCCGCAGCAACATCAGCAATTACGAATAATTAACCAACGAGCGAGTCTATTTAACAACGAAATAAAAATCATAAAAAGCTAACAAAATGCCAGTCGTTGGTCAACAGTATGGAAATGGCTTTCGGCCATATAGCTCCTTTCGAGTTCCACGCGGCAGTTGTGGCTACGGCAACAACAGCAGCAACAGCAGCAGCAGCAGCAGCAACAACAACCCCAGCAGCAGCACTGTCCAAATGGGACACCCACGCTTCCCAACCCCTCAGTAGTAATGGAGCCAACCGATCGATGGTGAAATCAGTGCCAGGCAGAAACAACAACCACCAGCTGCGGGATCATCGTCCACCTCGACGGCCTCGTCTAGTTCCTCGATCCATCAGCAGGGTGTAACCGGTGGCAGCCACTTTGTCCGCCAGCAGCCCTGGAGAGCAGTTATTGCACTAGCAACCGTCACAAGTTGCAGCCTGATCTGCATCCCCACCACCAGCAGCAGCAGAGATCTGTGAATGGTGGCAGCGTAAAGCCACTGACACCCAAGCTGATCCGTCGCATCGAAAGTACCTGCTCCTCCAACGCGCCGCCCACACGCCACTGCAAGGGAGGGCGCCACTACCACCCACTCAGGCTGCCCGCCCGGTGACTACGCCCAGCACTGCCAGAAACAGTATCAGTCAGCGGGCTCAGTATCAGTATCATCTCAGCAACCGATGGGCACACCAACCAGCCAGAAGCGCACTCATCAGGCGGGACGAATGGCCGCCAAGGAGAATTGCCCGGCACGCTTGGGACAGCGCTCAGCAAGAACTACCCGGCACCGCAGCCACCGCTGCCAGCGCGCAGGCAGGTGGCCACCAATGATCTCACCAACGGAGGTGGAGGAGCCGGAAAGGCCACTCCTCTGGCCCAGCGTCGCCAGCTGCCGCCCACGCCCAAGCTGAGCCTCAAGCAGCGCAACAATGGGTGCACCCACAACGGAGAGGGAGCAGGCTCCTCGACGGGCTCCAGTGATTCCCATGACTCTCCGCGCCTCAAGAAGGCCTTCTCGAATAAGTTCCCCCAAGGGTTGCCCTTCGAGGAGGAGTTCTACGGACGCAATCGCTCCTACTCGCAGTCCTCGAGCAACTACAGTTTCTACAGTTCCGTGGGCGCGCCCACCACTCCCCACGATGAAGATGATGACGGCGATCTGGATGACAAGGTCCACCGTGATGAGGATGATGAGTTCCAGCGCAAGCCGTCCACCGATGAGTCGCTCTATGTGGACTTTTCGAAACTAGTGCAGACCCACCAGCAGCGGCAGTATGTGCGGCCAGCTCCTGGATACGAGCGTCTCCAGATGAGTGCGAACTGCTCCGGAGCAAGCCAACTAGTCAGCTGACACCAGCCCAGCAGCGGAGGAAGAACAGCAAGTATGCGCGATCGATGCATGAGTATCTGTACAGCGATGAGCCTGGCCAGACGAGGATCAAGCACCGATTGTCCGTGGTAGATGAACCGGAGGATGGATACTACAGCTATGCTGCGGGAACGCCGGATCCGCTGCCCTCGCCACCGCCCACGCCCCGGACGGACATCTATGTGGCCGCAGCTTCGTGGGCTCCCAAGCCGCTCTATCCCGACCGCGTGCTGTTGCCACCAGCGGATGGCAACAACAATCACCAGAAGCAACAGCCGCGTCGACGGTCGGAGCACTTGGGGTCCACGACGTGTGAGTATAAGTGAGTGTCTCTTCAGCATGCGGAAACTCGAATCTCAATATGTATCTGAAAACTGGAGCTATGTAGCCTTGAGTGGCGGCACAGCTTGCTGACTAAGCGTTCTGTCCGCACTTCATTTAGAGCCACCGCCACCTCCTCCTCGCACTCCTCATTGTTTCTTCACCAACTTGAGCTCAAACCCAACTCAATCTCGTTCTCGATGATGTTTGTTTTCTGTTTTTATTTTGATTTTTTTTGTCGTATCTTATATATATATATAATATTTGTTATTGTTGGCGTTGTGCCGCTACGATTCGGTTCAAGATCTCTCAGCCAAATTTGGTCAAGCACACCGCCCCTACTTATGAGCTGAGCCGCGAGTTGCGGTGTCCAAATGGTGAGCTCCGTCCGGCTCATTAGGCAACCTAAGCGCCGGGCTGGGCGGCCAACTGCAAAGCTTTTAGCGTTCTACACTCAAGTATGGGGCATACTTCATTTGGTTGAGCGATTCGGCCGACTCTCAACCCCTTTTCTGTCGCTTTGTTGACTTAAGGTTGCCCAAGAGGTTCAACCTCGTTGGGCACTGTCCCATGTTATATGCTTTGCTAAATGGTCATTCGATGGAGCAGCAGATCTCTAGATTTCTATGAAATCCAGGTTCTGATCAATTAACACATTTAGCAAATAAATCTAATAAAAAAGGGGATTCTGTGACGTATCAGTGTGATGTAAACATTTCCTATCATCAAGTTTCTAATTGTTATTAATTGTTAATGCGCAAAGATCTTATTTCTTTTACATTATTCAAATTTATTTAAAAGGTTTTTTATTTAGCATACAATTAGCAACACAATTTAAGATCAAATAGAACATTATTTTGATATTTTTTACTATTTCGGTGTTTATTTTGAGCATAGCAGTTTTGAGAAGGCATACTGATGCTATTTAATTATTATACCGATAATTTACAGTTGATGCCTGTTTATGAACTGATAATTTCATGTGTGAGTTCCTTTCTGAGTTCCTTTTTCAAATTCCCGTTCGCTAATTGCTCGCAAATAGCTCTTCCCCCAAAAATATTTTAAAGTAATTATATCAGCAGCTGGCCAAATGGAATCCTCACTCTGTCACTGTCGGCTTCCGCACCTTGGAACTTTTTTTTTCTGAAGGGAGGGGCCCAAAGATCTCAGCTATGCCTTTTGGGTTTAAATTTGGTTTTTTTTTTGTATTTGGTTTGCTACTGTTTTTTTTTTTGCTTGGGTTCATTTATCTGACGTTTATCACGATCGAACAAACCGGACCTGTCTCCGCAGACCCATATACGATCATAATCGATGCTGCTACCGCCGGCAGCTGAGGCAGCCAACTAAAAGCTGACAACAAAGCTTAGATCTTGAGCTTACAGTTCTCGATCGATTTCCGACAGCGCAAGGCAGGCCTAATCGAAAAAATCCAAACAAACGATCTGAAAACAAAGTGAATAATGGATGCAACTCTCAGCGACAAATTAAATTTTTTTTTAATGTATTTTATTGACTTCCTATAAAGAGTCAGCCGAAAGGTGATTGACTACGCACAAAAAAACAAATACAAAACTCGCACCCAGACCAGAGCAAACTGGCATAAATCACGAAATAAATAAAATAAACAATGCAGTATTGAGAGATCTTCTAGAATTGATTTAAAAATTGCACAAACATTTTCATCGCTTCCTTTTTCGCTTTGGTGAGTGGCTGTAAGTTTGGGAGCGGGTTGCTTGGCAGGGGGACATTTCATTTTGGCATATTTAATTTGGCTTGTTGTTGAATTCGCTTAACTGTTGTTTGTTTTCGTTAACAGTAATGGCCGGCTCGGTCCGTTTGAGCTGGATGGATGGGGTAAATCCGAGGGGCAGTCGGCGGAGATCTCAGTGCAAAATTTCATTACGTTCATTGAACCGGGCGATCTCTCGCTCGGTCTCTTGGTTACCGACGGTTCAAACTGACTCAGAGTCAGACCCCGACACTGGTTGCCTGCTTGAACCCGACATGGCATGTCACTTCCTCCTCCTCGTCCAGTGGATCCAACTGATGCTCCTCCTCTTTAACTGACGCACAAAGGCCTTTCCATTATTTGCAGTGCTCATTTCACTAACTGTCTGAAGTGCTTATTGATGTCTTTCCCAAGTCTGCTGTTTGCGCAGACGCAACCATTGACCTTGCAATTGGCCAACGTCACCTCACCTGGCTTTGTGTTCCCTGTGCTCCTCAATGCCCTCATTTCGAGATCTGCCACCCAAATGGATTTGCATAATACCGCAGCTGTGTTTGGGCTGCTAACATACTTGGCACTTACTCATTCTTTGTTCATAATTTCTGCTTTCATCAGTTATACTCGGCAATATGTGTAACGGCACTTCTTTTGTCATTTAAGGCTCGCGACAATCATTTGCATTTCACCCGACCACTGCCCCATACTTTTGAACCTCATGGTAACTTTAAGACCTAGGGGACAAACCAAAAATTCCGGTTTCTCATTATGTTTCACTTGAAGACAAAGATATATGAGTAGTACTGGCTTCTGCTTTAATCAATGAGCAGGCAGACAAACGAAAACAAAGTTATGCCATATATATTTTTAATCATATTCAAGTTCTACTCGCCAGGGTTGGAGTTAACTTTTTCGGTTCTGAAGTGTCACAAAAATAAATAGGAAGAAAAGATAGATGGTTATTTAAACACTCCAAATTAATGAATTCCAAATCACAATTTTCCATATTTGGTGCCCGAAGAAGCCAACTTTAAATGATGGGTAAATTGAGATTTAATATGGGAGTTTACTATTTCCGGAAAAACATTTTAAATTTAGCTTTTATATATGACAAAGTGCCAAAGTCTTGAACTCTCTAACCTTCAAGTCATCAATACCAAACAATAAGTAGTTCATGAACCAAGAAAGTTTACCTTGGTCTATTGACATAAACATGAGCCATAAGTCTTGAGTTTATTGATCTAATAAATTGTTTTGGAATTTTTTGATTTTATCTCATCCGATGAACTGTCTATCACAAAGTTTAATATTTATTGAGCTGGCCTGTCATAAATAGTTCACGAACCATGATGGCAAACCTTGAACCATCCCTAGCATTTCTTGGGCTTTCAACCGCTTTTGGGGTATTTTTCGTGTGTAAGCGCATAAATCCGAAATGACGCATAACTTCTGCAGTTCATTGGAAGCGAAAATTGGAATCCAATTGTTAACGCTTTTTTATATTATATTTGTATAATATGTATGGGGTCTCAGCAGAGGGGGTGGAGGGCAGATCGCATATGTGCGATACGCTTTGCTTAATGTATTTATGGCAATTTCAGGGTCAGCACAAAAAAAAGCTAAATACAACAAAACGAAGAAAAATCTGTCGAGCCGCAACAAATGTTTGTCGGCGGTTGGCGGTGCAGGCAGCTCTGGTTGGTGGGCTTAAAGTGTCTCAGCTGCTCTATGTAAATCATGAAAAAAAAAACTGGTTTTCGAATGATTAATTTCATAATTCAATAACACGGCTAGCTTATAAGAAACTATTTTATATTCTCGTTCTCCAAATGGCAAGAGAATTGCAGACCCGCAGTGGGTTATTGTTCTTAGCGGATTTTGTTCGAGCTAATCTGACTCGCTGAATCTTAACACTAATTGTTGTCGCAGATTCTTTATCATCTGAGAGGTGAAAAAAGAGGTGTACATGATTCGTACAAATTGCAGGCCATTAGGGAAGTTGGCCAAGAAACAATGCGTTTATTTGTGATTAATTGCGGCATTCTTTGCCTGCCAGGAATCGGTCAAGGTCGACACAATCACTCAAGGAAAAGTATCCACATGTGGGGAATGATAAGGCCAGAAATGGGATTGGCCTGGCCATAAAATTGTTGTCGTCTCATCTGTGTGCCTGCGAAAAGTCGAGGCCAACAGAGAAAAATAACAATATAGAACCCCCGGTGCGTCTGAGCTGGCAAAATCCTCAAGGGCAATCCGCTGAATGAGGAACTCTATAAATATGGGCGCGATTGTTAATTTACCTCATGTATATAGCGGCTTAGAATAAAGATTTTTCAATCCTTGAAATTATCAGCAATTCGCGTTGAATAGCCTCTTGTAACCCCTTCAGGCCAAGCAACTTTGTTTTTTGGTTTCCCATAGCCCATATCTTATTTCTTTCCCACAGACTGTCATAACTTATTACCTCGCTGGGCAATAAAACGTTCGAATTCCTATGATTACCCCCAGATCAACCCAAAAGATAATTAGTACCAAAACATAGCTACCATAAACTGAGGTATAATATTTAGGTAACTATTTCCCAAGATATCTTATCATAGGCCACCGACCATATCAGATTTCCTCGTTTGAAATCGACCAAACCCTTTGTTTACATTTACCTTAACTTATGTTTGCGGTAGTCGCGTTGAACCCATTACTCGGTTCTTTTAGGTCAAAGATAATTTTTTATGAGGCTTTTTTTACTAGTCAAGCTTTCGACCTGTTCGACTTGCCTTGAGTGAAATATTAAGCCAATTACCTTACACAACGCCGATCTGAAATGCTCCAGTCCAAATTGGGAATCTATTATGAACTTGCTTTGCCATTCGTTCCTACCCTCCTACCCCTCCCACTCTTTTCAGCTTGTCGAATCGAAATCGGATTCGGATTCTGGATCTGAATCTGTATCCGAATCAACGAATCATTAATATCCAATTACAGTTGGCCATAAAAGCTGTTCTAATTTGCACGCAGCGCGTCATTAATCATAAATCAAAATGCCGAAAG